ATAGTCATTAAACGATTACATCACGTTATTGCTGCTAAAGATGGTTCTACAAACCTTTAAATCATATGGTTTACTTAGATTTTCACACACAGCTTCTCCATTTTGGCTTTATTTTCGCGGTCGGGGGACTCACCTGGGATCCAAGGGAATCCCCCGCGGCGGATCCTGCCTCCTCCGCCCCCCCTCCCGGCCATGTGAGAGTGAGGTCCTTGCGAGGACCTCACAATCACATGGCCGGGTTAGCTGGCTGCTGCATTGCAGGCAGGGGGACTGCCTGTAATGACAGTTAGTCCCCCTGCTGGCTGAATTCAAATAAAATAAAGTTAAAATCAGTGTTAAAAAAAAAAAATTATATACTTAGATCATATATCTATATTATATATATATATAACAGAAAAAAATGAGAGCACTCGCTGGATTTAGCAAAATACTTATATTAGGCAGTGAACAAACTAATCAACGTTTCGACCGTCTCGCGGTCTTTATCAAGATCTTGATAAAGACCGCGAGACGGTCGAAACGTTGATTAGTTTGTTCACTGCCTAATATAAGTTTTTTGCTAAATCCAGCGAGTGCTCTAATTTTTTTCTGTTTTCTATATACATACACAGAGAAGCACCCTGGGGTTATATTTGCATTAGTTACAAAATACCTTTGGGAAGAGTGCCAGATTTCGGATGAATATATATATACACACACATACACTGTGTAAGTGTATTTTACTATTATTATTTATATATATATATATATCAAATTACACGTAGACTGATACTGATTAAATATATATAATTATTGTTATATATATATTTATATATAATATAAAAAAATGTAAATACGTTAAATAAAAATAATAAATAAATAAAAAATATATAGATGTTTGTTATTTCGTTCTAACTGTATTGTGATATTAATATATATATTTATATCAAAATACACGTAGAACGAAATATATATCTATATACATAAATATATACGTATATATAACTATATATATATATCTATATATAAATAAAAAAAAAAAATTTTAAATTATATATATATATATATATATATTTATATATATATACACACATATATTAATTTTACATATATATTTATGTAATATTGTTACATAATTAGGTATTTTAATTAATTACAATTAGCGGGACCTGCCTGACAACCCATGCCGAAAGTAAAGGGAATTTAATTTGCTAGCACTATATTTAACCCTATAACTTTCTAAGACACCATAAAACCTGTACAAGGGGGCTACTGTTTTACTCGGGAGACTTCGCTGAACACAAATATTCGTGTTTCAAAACAGTAAAATGTATTACAACGATGATATCGCCAGTAAAATTGAAGTTTTTTTGCATTTTTCACACACAAACAGCACTTACACGGACGATATTATTTCTGATACTTTTTTGAAACATAAATAATTGTGTTCAGCGAAGTCTCCCGAGTACAACAGTACCCCTCATGTACAGGTTTTATGGTGTTTTCAAAAGTTACAGCGTCAAATATAAGGCTTGTGTTAGATTTTTTTCCAATTTGCCAGATTGGTTACGTTGCCTTTGAGACCCAATGGTAGCCCAAGAATGAAAATTACCCCTATGATGGCATACTATTTGCAATAGTAGACAACCCAAGGTATTGCAAATGGGGTATGTCCAGTCTTTTTTTGGAGCCACTTAGTCACAAACTGGCCAAAATTGGCGTTTTTTGCATTTTTTACACACAAACAAATATTAACGCTAACTTTGGCCACTGTTTGTGACCAAATGGCTACCAAAAAAGACTGGACATACCCCATTTGCAATACCTTGGGTTGTCTACTATTGCAAATGGTATGCCATTATGGGTGTAAATTTCATTCCTGGGCTACTATACAGTCTCAAAGGCAAAGTAACCAATCTGGCGAATTTTAATTTCAAATGTAACGTGCTATATTTGACCCTGTAACTTTCCAAAACACCATAAAACCTGTACATAGGGGGTGCTGTTTTACACGTGAGACTTTGCTGAATATAAATGTGTATTTTATTGCAGTAAAAGCAAACAGTATTATGACATTGACAGTTAGAATGTCATGTAGAACTAAAAAAATAATGTATTTTCTCCCATTTTTTTCATATTAAATTATGTTAGCTAAATATTTTATATTAAATGAAAGCCCTGTTTCCCCTGAATAAAATGATATATAATAAGTGTGGGTGCATTTAATATGAAAGAGGTGAATTACGGTTGGACAGACATGTTGCGCAAATGCCAGGTGTACATTTGGCTCAGTCCTTAAGGGGTTAAATAAATGACATGGTGTAATATGTTATGTGTTGTTGTTTATCTGAGGTTGTATTTACCCAATTTTAAAGGGACAATATAGGCACCCAGACAGTGGCAGGATTCAAACGGTTCACGCAAACCTGTTGCTAAAATTTCACAAGTTCTCCGAAACGGCACAAACCGAAACTGTACCACTTTAAATGCAGCGTTCCGGAGTGCTCGCAGGACTGCACCTCATCCTGCACAGACCTGCTGCCGCTCCTGCACGCTGTTCCTGTGCGAGTGGAGAGTGGGAATAACATCTCTGCCTCCAGCTCTGCGTATTTGTTGGTGAGGAGGCAGAGGACATGCCACCCCAGTAAGCCTATATTACTAATCTGATCTGGAGTGGTGTGTTGATCTGATGGGTGCTGTGGGCTTTCGTGTTAAAAGGGTGAGGGGAGGGTGCGAGTTGGGGCTTCCCATGTGTTTAAATTTATAGAGACAGTAAGTTTTGGAGTCTCAGTCTCATTACTCTCAGGCAGGGAGTTAATCTACCTGAGAGTAATGAGACTGAGACTCCAGAAATTTACAGGTGTATCACTGTGCCCCAGCAGTTTACCCTGTTGCCGCCCATGGTCTCTGCCATCAGACTTTCCCCTCAGTGGCCCTTGGCATTACTGTGTTGGCAGCAGGATGTAGACTCCAGCGATATTGGAAAAAGAAGAGTAGGAAAAATAGGAATTAAAAAAAAAAAAAAAAGATATCAAACACTGCCACAGATCAGGGTATGTGTGCACCCCACATCCTGTGTGTTCAGGGATTCCAAATCCCCTAGCCACCTCCCCCTAAAAAAGAAAATACCCTAATAATAATGATGGAAGGGCAATAAATCCAATACCTGTAAAAATACAAATATTTAACCATCTGAATTGTTCTTGCGTTTAATTCTTTTGTTTTTCAGCCCCAAAAAAGGCCAAATAAAACCACATAATTCCTTGACATTAGTATTGAAAATGTTAAAAAAAACAAAACTGTTTTTTTGTAAAACAAACAAACAAAAAAATTAAAACCCTAAACACACAATAAAATGAATCCATCTTCACCCATTGAGGGCTCTGCAAAGACTGAGCTTTGATAGCGGGGAAGGCCTTTTATAAAGACTTTCCCGCTCTTTGTCAGCTATTGCATCACGTGGGAACATTTCTCACACTATGCAATATTAAGAACGAGCACTCAGATTGATTGGCTAGTAATCCAACTCATCAGAGCTCTCTGACTGCCAAGTCTTGAGAGAAGTGATTTTTTTTTTCCTGCCTTGCCGGTGGGAACATAATGAGTTGAAATAACTACATTACAGAAGTATAGGCTTTTTATTTATGAATTATTTTTTAAAACTTTTTTAATGTGGTGCTTGGCTAGCAGAGTTTTCAACTATTTGCCTGCTGGCTGCTAGTGCTGCCTGTGGGCAAATAGTTTTAAAACATTTTTTTAAATCCAGACTGGGATTTGTAGCATTCCGTCCAGATTTCATTCATTAAGTGAATAACCCCGACAGCCTCTATAGTCCTCCATGCTTCTGTGCAATGAGTGAAGCAGAAAAAAATCACATAGAGTTATTTATTGAACACCAGATTTTGTCTGGTAAAAATGACCAAATTCCAAGCACAAGTCTCAGATTTACTAGCCAAATATGGTCAGGATTCGGTCATTCCGACCTATTCTATAACATTCCAGATATTAGTGATTTTCCAAACTCATCTGAACCAATCTACAGCACCGGTATCGGAAATCTATCAACGACTGCATGGTGTCGAAAGATGAATTGAATGCATCTAGTAGGATGGACATTCACAAATTATCATAAATTGATTTTTGCAAATGAATTGATAATTTGAAGAATTATTCGCCCACTGACTGCTAGCAGCCAGCTGGGAAATAGTTAAAAACCTTTAATACTGCCAGGGTAAATTGTGTGCTGCCTGGCCAGTTCTTGCTGACCAGCTGCCACATTAAAAAAAGTAAAACATAAAATAAATGGAAATCCTGTGGTGGTCAGTAAGACCCCCTTATTGCTATAATGGAGGTCTTGTACCTCCATAGGCACCCACCTGCTGGGGGCATGTTTACTAAACATTTAAAACTCTCTCCCTCCCCCCCATAGTTTTAATAATTAACCCTGGCTGTGAGTGCTGCCAGTGCACAAACCGTTCTATTCTTTTTAAATGGAGCCTTGATTTGTCGCATTTAGCCTCGATTCGGTGACAGTGAATAACACTAATAGAGATATAATTAAATATGTGAGTTGATACATTTGTTTTAACCCCAGAAAAGTAAACCTAAAAAGAGCACCCAGAATACAGGAACATTGTTTGGGTTTCACATCTGGTAAAGATGGCATAATGAAGGTGAGGATCTGGTGTGACTATGTAGGTCCCTAAATATTACTCCGTGAAATGGGTTTATGTTGTGCAAAACGCTGTTGCATGTGCCTTCCAGCCAGGTTTCGGATGCCCAGTCACAGACTCCCTCCTATGCAAATGCCAGGCCTCGGAGAAGCACGCAAGGCCTCCGTCTCCCTCCGTTGCTCTTAGCAACCATTTACAACAGTCTGGTGACGTCACACCAAGGGATTTTCCTGGGTCCGCCCACTCTCAAACCGGTTCCCAACCAATATACCAATCCAAGCAGGTGGAATGCTTCGACGTCACGCCCAATCAGCAGGCAGCTGGGCGTGGCTCCCAACCAGAGCCCATCAATTGCATTCCACCTAAGACGCGGTCGAATCGGTGTGGGGGTAAGGGGCGTGGCCGAGAGGCAATTTCTTCACACCCACGTGGCTGGTGGGGGGGGTAAAGGTGCGCTGCTTAGGGTAACTGGGAGACAGGCTCCTCCCACTGACACGCCCTAAACACGGGCTGCTGTGACAGCGGGGTTATAGCGTTGTGACCCATCCCACTGTTCAATATATACTATGGGAGCATGCTCTATACAGTCACTATATATATATGGTATATACTATGGGAGCATGCTCTATACAGTCACCATATATATATGGTATATACTATGTGAGCATGCTCTATACAGTCACTATATTTATGGTATATACTATGGGAACATGCTCTATACAGTCACTATATATATATGGTATATACTATGGGAACATGCTCTATACAGTCACTATATATATATGGTATATACTATGGGAACATGCTCTATACAGTCACTATATTTATGGTATAATATGGAAGCATGCTCTATATATTGTATAATATGTCACTCTATATATTGTATAATATGGGAGCATGCTCTATACAGTCACTCTATATATGGTATACACTATGGGAACATGCTCTATATTCACATATATGATATATAGTATGGGAACATGATCTATATATAACATTTTGTAATTTGTATCATTCAATAGTAAATTCCCCCTTTTATAATTTTGTAAAGCGCTGCAAAATAATACCAATAATAATAATGTAGAATGCATGCAAACTATATTCCAGAAATATTCTGTCTGTCTCAGAATACATGCATGGAACATGTTTATGGGGACATCAAATATGCAATTTACTATTGCCGTATCTGTATATGGGAGGCACACTCTGATAAATTTTCATATTTCACTACAGGTTGAAATACCTGTGTATAAAGCAATGTATATTAGCTGTACATAATGTTTCCATGGTTACAGTGCAAATTTAAATATGTGGATCATGTTAGACTGCATATGCCAATTGCCAATATTTTATTTGTAAGGATAAGACATCTTGCAGCTGTGACATTAGAGGTGAACGATTTAATATATTTTATACCTTTTTTTTATACCTCTACTTGTAATGTAAAATTTTAACAATGTTACATGGCACAGTATTCACTGAACAAATTATTATTATTTTATTATTTATATAGCGCCATCGGATTCCGTAGCGCTGTACAGTGGGTTGACTAACAGACATGTAATTGTAACCAGACAACTGGATGTACAGGAACAGAGAGGTGGAGGGCCCTGATTATTCTTTTTATAATTTTATATGTATATAGTGAACATTGTGCTATGTAATGTTGTGACCAGAATAGAATACTCTTGTGACCAGTTTTTGGCGCTCTATATACAGTGAATATTTCATTATAGTGAATGTGTGGAATATATATTTTACAAGCTTCCGGGAGATCCTTCCTTTGTCATGTCTAAATGTTTTAGAACTTAGAAAGGGATGATCTCCCCAAAAAAGGTTTTTATTTTGTTCCAAAATTGTGTTAGTCCAATGAAAAAGGAATTCCAAGATAGTAATTGAATTTATTTTACATCAGCTTCATTGGATGAATACAGTTACAATTTATATACATATATTTTAGACACATTCACTCTAACACACACATATAATATCTCTCAGTGATCACACTCCTCAGCCTAGTACAAAATCCCAGTCAGTCTCTCATGTAAGTGGAGGGGGGTGGAGGAGGAGACGAGAGAGGAGGAGCAAAAGCTGCATCTTATTTATTTATTTCTCTCTGTCTCGCTTGCTCTCTCTCTCTCTCTCTCTAAATGCTTAAGGTGAAGAGTGCAGAGCTAGCCGATCTCAACACATGGTTCAACCCATCTCTGTCCCAGGAGGAGAAAGACACAGAGAGCGAGTAAGCAAGAGAGAGACTCCCAGACAGAGATAGAAGAAGCAGAGGGGAGCATCTTGATACTAAACCGTCCAAAGCAGGTGTGAAACACATCTCACACCCAGCCTACCACTCTCCTATTGAGGGTTCCTGACTGATTCCTTCTCTGTGCTTTCTGTCCAGACCTTTGGATTTGGGGGGGGAGGACGCACCCCGTTATTCCAAACTGTTCACCACCAAAATGACAATGAGCTTATCAGCATCTCACTTTGTACCTGCAGCATCTCCCCACGTGTGGCTCCTGGTTGTAGTAGGGGAGCACGCATGAGGAATTAGAGAAGGGGGTTGCGCATTCTGAACTGACCAGGGCAAATAAAAACCCAATATAACGAAGGTGTAATCTGGAACCATCAAGAATTCCCAAGACAAGGAGAGAGGAGCAATGAATTTATTTCTTATTAAAGACTGAGCTGTAAATTTAAAAGGGGGGCTGGAATTTTTACATCCCCCCCACCCCCCTCCCACACACACACAGCTTACAGCCTGCAAAATTTGGGGTTGGAAGAATGATTTGCCTCTGAATTTTAATAGGATTCCCCTTCATATATCTAACATCTGTTGCTGCAAACGACTGAGAATAGACACCTTTTTGGACAGATTTCAAACACACCTCCCTTTCTTTTAAACATACAGAAATCTCTTTATAGATCGTATCTGGAATTTACATTTTTGGCAAATGTACCGGCTTCTATTTAACTGTTGCTGTCCTCAACAGAAGAAAAAATGTCAGAAATATTTCAAGATTTTTGCTCTTAAGACAACATTCTCAAAGCTATACAACAGCATCCTACTGCAATGAATTGACATAAATATAGTGATTATTTTTTAAATCATTAAATATTTTATTGAAAAGACACACATATATATACATATAAATATATATATGTGTTACATATATATATGTAACAGTCTGAAAACTGCATATGCAGGCTGCAATTTCCTAGCAAATACATTTGCAATATTTATTACGATTAAGAAGGCAATTACAATTTGTCGTTCAAGTACTTACTGATATTTGAGTAGGATTTATCATTTGCCCTGCTATTATTTTTTGCCCTTTAAAAAAAAGCTAATTTATTAAATGTATTTGGAGAAATAGCCCACCTATGCAAAGTCTAAGTTATACATTTCAAATAAGTACTATTTAAAAAATTTTTTTTCAAAAGATATCTTTTAAATTAAGTATATTCTGTAAACAGAATATTATTTCACTCCCAAAGGATTGTTTATATAAAGTGGGTCTTCTTATCTTTTACATGCAAATATATTTGCCATTTTATTCCATATAGGTTATTTTATTCAACCACAGAAATCTTTTTTTTATTTTTTTAAATACATTATTTCCCCCATAGAATTTTACATTCAGCCTCAAGTTTTGCAATTTTTTTTCTGGAACTGAAATGAGGATTTCATTTTGCACCATTTTTGATTGAATGAGAAGAGGTTATTTTTGGGAGCTATTGTGATGGAGAAGTTGGAAGCCGAGTCAGATGTTGAGCCACAGGGTCGCCCTCGCTCCTGCACCTGGCCTCCTTTGCCGGACCCTTCCTCTGATATTCCTTTGCCCCCTCCTGGTCTGGATCCAGGGCAGATGCGTAAAGCAAAAAGTTCACGCAGGAATGCTTGGGGCAATTTGTCCTATGCAGATCTCATCACCAAGGCCATAGAGAGTTCCCCGGAGAGGCGCTTGACCCTATCTCAAATTTATGACTGGATGGTTCGTTTTGTCCCTTACTTCAAAGATAAGGGTGACAGCAACAGCTCTGCTGGGTGGAAGGTGAGAACCTAGCAGGACAGCATGAGGGAATGAGGGTCCTGCCAAATAAGGGTGGGAAGTTATGGATGTACATTAATGTACATTACTGGCAAAGGCATGTGTTTATAAAATAGTTACTGTGTAAGGACACATGCATGTATGGCCACATGTGTGGCTAGGGCAGTTGATGATAAGTAGGGGAATGCTGGTTATTTTAATAGATGCTTTAGATGTAGATATTTTAATAGATGTGTGAAAGTTGTTTGAGAATTGTGGGTAGGTTTTGGAGGCTTGTTTATTGACTGTATTGTCCAATCTAGGCAGTTGGTGGTCACTGCTGGGGAAAAGGAAAGGTGTGTGTGTGTATTAGAATGTTCATTGGGGTTAGGGCACTTGTTGCTTTGGTATAAGATAAGGGACAATGAGGATGCAGGGTGCATTATGACTTGGATTTCCCTTTAGTGTAATTCATGGAAATGGGGCATAATGTGTACAAGTATGTATGTGGGATACATAGAGTTGATAACTCTGTTTGAGAAAATGTAATAAGAATGGAGGTATTGACTCTACTATTTTTATTTTTGTCAGTATTTTAGAAAATAGTAAGATACATCAGTTATTGTTAGAAGGGAAAGCCTTGGAAGTAGTAGTATTATTGTCTGCCCTTACAGGTTGACAGATACTGGCAGTCCTAAATTCATGGTGGCTTCCTGAAATTCTTTGCATAGATTTTCATATAACAGTATATTTAGTGGGTTTGGCTACTCTGTAGACTAGATCTTTGTGGCAAAATGGAGGTAAATAATTTTTTCACATATTTTATAAGACATATTGCTCACTCTTACATTTGCACTATTCTAGAAACACGTAACTGGATAAAATTCAAACTCTACTTTTTCTTTAAATATATCAATATAATATCCATGTTTGTGTGTAAAGTCTAGCCTTGTTATAACCATATTAGTAACTCATTCCTGATCTTCATCAGCATAGGGAAGCCTATAAATACATCACTGTTCTATTGACATTTTCATAATCCAACACCCATTAACCCCTTTAGTACCAATGATATATAAAGATCGTTACAATTTGCTCTACCCTAATCTGAAAGGGATTAATTACCCTGTTACCAAGGCCTACTATTAATAACGTGTTAACTTCCTCAAAGAAAGTAACTAAAAGCTACTAAACTATCAAAGGTTTATGTCTCCATCCATTTCTTCAGCGTTTAGTCACTAAATAGTGAAATGGTGAATTGAAAACAGAATTGCTAAATTTAGGCTAATATAGTTATGCTGTTGGAGAATTTTTCTAAATCAGCTCTTTTTGCCTACATTTTGGAATTTCGTTTTTAGTTTGCTATTTTTATAATTAATATTATGATTGGAATTTAAATAGCACCAACTTTTTCCACAGTGCTTTACAATAAAATAAAAGGGGGTATTTAATAATAAGTGAGAAAAACTATTAAACAGTTTGGCGGGAACAGTAGGTTGAGGACCCTGGTCAAACATGCTTACAATGCAGAGGATGTGGGTATAAAAAGACAAAAGGAATGGTAGCATGGGGGATAACAAGCAAGTGGGAAAGTGGAACCCTCTAATTAAATTGAGAGAGAGTTTGAGAAGTGACAGTTAGTCTGGGAGGTCATACACTTGAGATGTGTTTTTAATTGACTTCTCATAGGATTAAAGGCTTGGGTATAGTCTGATGGTAAGGCATGGCTGGTCCATAGGAATGGAAACATCCAAGAGAATATTTAGTGAATAAACCACTTGTCTACCTGCCTAATTTTTTTCTAGAAATGTTAACGTGGGGTTGAAATATGACATGGGTCCATTTATATAGGTTATTTTTTTTAATTTTTTTTTAAGTATTTAGAAAGTCAGGTGCTATAACATGCTTCCTATCACTTTTTTACCCCCACAAACTACTTTGTGCTTGTAATTCTTCTAGACTTTACATAATATGTTTTATTTATAGGTTTGTAGATTGCATGTTTAATAATGTACACATAATTAAATGAATTCTTTTAGTTATGCTGAGGTTTTCCAGGATAATAAAGGTGAAAGAAAAAATAAAACCATTATTACTGCTCATGTTACAGGCAAGCCATTTTTACACATGATACCTGTTCACACTTGCTACAATTTCTTTATCAGTTTGTAATAATTCAAGATTATGTTACATATTTAGATATACAGTCTGACACCACTAAAGCATAGTTTCATACAGCCTGAAGATCTGTGTCTACTTTGTATGTTCAAAGTGGTAAAGCATATAGTAGCTTTTCCCCAAATCTTTTAGTCACACATATCAATTAGCACCAACTTTTTCTTTGAAAAATGTAAATGTATTTGCATTATAAAAAAAAAAAAATACTCCACTCTTTTTTTTTCATGATTTTTATCCCTATGTAATAGTCTATCGCTACATCTTTACCTCTCTCTATCCTTTAGGCTTCGCTTCTCCCTTATTTGTCACTCTCCCCCTTCTCTCTCATTTATGCTGCATTACCTACTGAAGTGTCTTAGCTATTAAATGATGCAGTTTTATAGTGGCAAAAAAAAAGGAGAGAGAAATACAGGCAGTGTAACCCATGAAAATCACTACAGCTCGACTTGGATGCTGTGCCTACCATGGCAGTGTGATATAGTAAAACATAGGCTATTGGATGTGGAGGCCATGCCACCTAGTTCAGTGTGACAAAGGAGCACGTGGTGAAAATGCGCTTTAGAAGTAGATATTGTTTCATCCACTGCTGGGTGGCACAGAGACTAAGAAAGAAGGGAGCAATGAGACTTACTGTTATTGCCATAAGTGTGTGATACTGACACAAATAATTTATAGAACACATTGATTCTGCATCTACAACTTCATGGAAACAGTTATATCAGAGTTATTGAACATAAAGGTTCTATCACCTTTTGCTCGTTTACAAAACATGTAGCTATGGTACATGGATTCTTCCTTAGTATTTGCAAGGTCACAAAGCTGTCTTCATGGAGTCATGGATTGTGTAGTTTATTCATCTTAAACTGACGCAGGCTGTCCCTCACACACAAGATGGAAGATACATAAAAAGATGCTACAATAATGTCTGACACAGACATTATTGTAAAACAGTTACACATGTAAGATGACAGTGTTGACAAAGGTGTCAGAGATACACAAGAAATAAAGGTAAAATCATTAAGCATGTCTTCTTCCCATCAAAAAGTGACAGAGACTCTGATTATGTGGACATTGACTGGGGAAATTATAGGTCCCACTTTTACATGGCAGAATAACAGTTAAATGGCAATCTTTACACTGCACAATGGGAAATATGTGAAACAAAGGTCACATATATGTAAAAGTGGATTACAGATCCATACCATTTGTTTGAATCATATATATGTGGACTAGATGCATTTCATCCCTTCTAGCACAAGGCAGTACAGACACTGATTAAAAGGTGCTTGGTATTTGGGTATTTTATTCATTTGCACTGGAAGGTGACAGAGTTACATTTGTAGATTTAAATGTAATAGCAGATTGACCCTTGTTTTGCAAAGTGACAGAGAAATATACAAGCAGTGTGTAAGCCTGTCCTCTGACTCACACTGCCAGGTGAGAGTGCACACCAGTCTCTCACTCCTAAATAGATCAGTCTTGTAGGGATTAATGTTGGTAAATTTTCTCTAACCAGATTATTACAGATAGATTACAGCACAGAGAATTAGTGACAACAAGATAATTGTGTGGTAATATTTATAAAATGTTGTTTGTTAGTAACTATTCTCAACATCTTTATGATAACTCTCAGATTTTAATATCAATATCTTCATTATCAGTTAACCAAAACTCCTAAGTTATCCTACTAAGTTTCTTTTTTATTATATATAAAACAACAACACACTCAACAGTGCTGTACAATGGGTACGTCATGAAAACACATTTACACTGTTTGTAAATATACAAAACTCAGAAAGAGAAAAAAGTGCCTGAGAGCTCCTGCCTATTGCAAATCCCATTATTAACAAGCTGAGAGTGATAGGATTTGTAGAGCAACGTTCTCTGGGTGCATGTAAACTGCCTATCCTTATTTTGTATCATGTAGTTAGCCATTTTTATTATCTAGTTCATGGGTAGTCAACCTGGTCCCTACCGCCCACTAGTGGGCGTTTCAGGATTCTAGGTGGGCGGTAGGGGATTCTGCGGCACAACAAGCTGAATCCTCCTTTCATCGAGAGAGTGGGCGGGCGGGCGGGTGTGAGTGCACAAATGGACATGAAAGCGCGAACTCATGCGAACAAGAGAATGCATGCGCGCGAACAAGAGAATGCGTGCATGTGAACGAGAATGTGCCAACGCGAGCGAGTGTAACACATGGGAAGAGGAAGGGGAGGAGTGGAAGCTGATGTACAATAGCAGGGACAGGCAGAAGCAGAGCAGAGCAGTTGTAAAATAGGAGAAAGAAAAGTTATTGGCAGGACAAGGAGAGAATTGTTGTTGGCTAATAATAATAAGTGGGCTAACTAGCTCAGCCTTGCTTTTGGACATTACCCTAAAGAAGGTAAAAGAAAAGAGATAAAAAGGGAAGAAAAATAGAAAAAAGGGGATAAAATAAAAGAGGACAGAAAGCAGTGTTTAGAGTGGCTCGTGTTTTGGCAAGTTAAGTTTTGTTATCTTATAAAAGAAAGAAAGAAGGAAGGAAAATAAGTAAAGGAAGGAGAAGGAGAGAATAAAGAGAAAGGGGAAAAAGAGACCCCTGATATATTGATATAATATAAGGAAGTTAAAGAAGAAGGCAGGAAAAGCAGAGAAAAAAAAAGGGGGGAACTTCTTTTTATGGTGATGCGTAATAACAATTGGCACATAATACGGCGTTGTTTTGGGTGTTTGTAATAAAAGGGAAAAGATGGGGAAGGGGGAAGGAAAGCACTGTGTGGAGTGCAGATCAAAACATGGTAAGAGTAAAAGTAGTGATGTCGCGAACCGTTCGCGAACTTGCCGCAAGCGGTTCGCTGCAAACCGTTCGTGGCGAACTCCGGTCAGCTGACACATCCCTACCAATCTCCGGCAGACCCTCCCTCCCAGACCCTCCTACTTCCTGGACAGCATCCATGTTGAAGGCAGCTTCAACATGGATGCTGTCCTGGAGGTGGGATGGTCTGGGAGGGAGGGTCTGCCGGAGATTGGCAGGGATGTGTCAGCTGACCGGAGTTCGCGGCGAACCACTCGGGGCAAGTTCGCGAACGGTTCGCAACATCACTAAAAAGTAGTTGTTAAATTGTGCAACAAATTTAGAACCCACGTGTGAAGAAAAAGACCAGAGTATCTGAAGACACTTGCGCTAAAAAAGTTTGAGTTACTGCAGCACTGGTGGGCGGTACGGAAATTTTACCATCAAGAAAGATGCATTAGTGGGTGGTAGGTACAAAAAGGTTGACTACCCCTGATCTAGTTACTTGGCATCACTCTGCACTTTTGCACATTCAGGGTCCATGGGTCCCTCAGTGATAACTTATCACCACTTTTACCATTTCAAATAATGTTGCTTTTTAAAAGTGATACTTATACACTACTGCTTATCCTTTAACCGGGTATGCATCTAGCATACTTTTATAGTGCAGCATTCATTATAAGAGGTCACAGGAGGACAGTGTGAGGATAGTTTTGGGTTTATATCGGGACATCTCTGTCTTTTATTATGTTCCCTGTTCAGAGCAGCTCTTGACTTTTAACACATTGTGAAATAAATAGTTTCACGTAATTGTGATGAGGGAATGATTTCTTATTGCATAGTTCCCATCTGTATTTCTTCTGATCGCAACTGCAACAGATTCATGCTATGTTGATCATATGTTTTACTATCACTTTCAAGGAAAAACAAAGTCATATAGTTCTATGTGTAACAAGAACAAAAAAGGATATATTTTATATACCCTTCAGTTTCACTCCAGGAGGAAGTTCTGTGCTTGCGCCTACTGATGATTTATACATTTTACATTTCCACATTTCCATTTGTTATATTTGATTAGGATGGAATATTTTGTATGCCATAGAATTATAATATTATAATGTCACCCCATTAAAAAAAAATGAGTATTTCGTAAAGATAAAGAAAAAAACTAAATGAAGTACTCAGAGTATGTTTGCACTGAAATTTCAGAGCAATACCAACACAGTAAAATAAATGTCATAAGAGAAAGTAGGGACTACTTTTCTTATGTATTTTTACTATGCCTGACAAAACTTGACAAAAGGATAGAGCTAATTAACTAATTGTTTTTTATTTCTCCCAGCCATCACTAGTGACGGCTGAGAGAAGAAAGGCATTATCTTGCACGATCTGCATAGACATCATTGTTGTTCTCTCATCCATGCGCAAGAGTACAACACTGACGTGGGCTCCTGGCAGATGAATCGTCAGGAGCTAGTGAGGATCTACTGAATAAAGAAGGACAATTCCAGGTAAGTAAAATTTACCTTTCTCTGCACCCCCAGGCCACTGTGCGCAAGCGGTAAAGTCAACATTGCGGGTCTTTGCATATTGACCCCACCATGTGACAGCTACTTTAACCAAAAAAGGTACATTTTATATTTTTGCTAGAGTCAAAGTACATCCTAAGGTCTATATGTAATTATTACATAACTTGATGGATGAACACAAAAGGATTAAAAGCCAAGCTGACCTTGCAGAGATTCAAACATGTGACTACTCTATACACTATATATTTTAATTCATTAGGTAGAAATATTCCATTCTCCTTCTTTGTCCTATGTATTGTTTCATTAAACAGAAATAATTACACCTCCATATCTATATGTTCGAAATCCAATCTACAAAAATACAAAAAAGAACCACAAATAGTGTCATACTATTAAACACCATAAAAAAGGTTTGGAGATATATTGCACTTACAAACTGGAATTTGATAGCATGCATATAGCAGATAAAATACTGCTGCACCTTCTTTCCTTTACTCCTTCTCTGAATATAGAGGGAAAGAAAGGAGAGACAAATACATAGTATACAACTGTATATGAATAAAATCAAAATGTATTACAGGTTGCACTCACAAGATAAAATCAATAGATAAGCTCATCAGAATTAACACTTCACCCAGTCCGCGTTTCGTCCGATTAGGGACATCATTATGGACTCTACAGCATCTCTGAGGAAATGCTGACTGGCAACTGATGATCAGTTATGGAGGTGGGCCAGCTCTGGCGAGACCGGCATGGCGCTGGTAAAAAGAGAAGTAAAAGCATCATTCCCATGCGATCGGAGGGGGCTGGTGACCTAAACATACACATTCATTGACACACACACAGACAGAGACAGACACACACTGACAGAGACAGTCAGACACATACACACACTGACATAGACAGACATACGCACATACTGATAGAGACAGTCAGACACACTCACAAAGTACTATTAATACACTCAAATATATACACACACAAACATTCATACATACACACAGACAAATACACAGAGACATACACACGACAGATTCACAGATTTAAAAAAAAAAAATATATAGTTTTAGTCACCCTCCTGTTTCCTACCTTTTGGGCTCAGGAGGGTGGCTTCCCTGGTGTCTAGTGGGATTAGGCAGCAGTAAGTGACAGGTTAGTGGGGCTGGCTGCGGCTGATGGGAGTAGGCAGCCGCTGTTTCAGACTCCTTCCTTACTCCTCCCCCCTATCTCAGCAGCTCTCTGTGCGCCGGGAGGAAGTGAAGGGAACTGTAATAACTTCCTCCCAGCACTGAGGTCACGCAGGGGAAAGGACTGGTTGCCGGTGTTCCATCAGCTTTGGGGCATGGGGGGCGGGAGGCATTTGGGAGCTTCAGAGTTCTGGGCTGCCAAAGTCACATAAAATAGGGGGTGCAACTAGCCCCTGGCACACAAGTGCAAATAACTATGGTTATGCAGCTAAAACACAATCTGCACAGCCAGATTCCTAACACAATACCTATCACAATGACCACTTCAAAAAGTAGAAGTGGTCATGGACGTTGAAGTAACCTTTTAAACCCTCTAATCCAAAGTCCACCTTTTGTTAGTCCATATAATGGCAACTTTTTTCACTTGTTCATGTGGACATATTTAAAGTTAGTCAAGTATGCTCAGAAATCTTTTAGAAGTCAAAATTGACTACACTTTGCACCTCAAAAAGCAACACAATTTTACATAGTCCATTTTGTCTCATAGTTTCTCACTGAATCTCTTAACTCTGTCTAGGCAGTGCAGGCTCTATGTTCCCCTGACTTTTGTATGGATGCTTAATATTGTGGCAATTGGGCAGGTTCTATGACTTTTCTATATCATTTTTTAATACTCAAGGATGAAGAAAAAAAAGCCTCAATGTGCTGTAAGTCCCTCTTTTCTGTGATTCGACAAATGCTAGAAAACAATGGTCCATTATGGAACCCCTGCATTGTAAGCCTACTCTTAAGTTTTAGTAAATTATCGTCTTCCCTTCCCCCCAACACTCTACATTCGTCCTTTGCAGCATGATATAATAATTGGTGTCAGGACCTGGCAGCGAGGTGATGTGCCATTCTGAAGAGGCTAGCTGGGTAATTGAAGCAAAATTAGGCACCTGTGGTGAGATCCCAGAATGCCTTATGCCACTGCTAAAACAAAATATTCATAGAGAAGAAAAGATCAGAGGGAAAAGAAAGAAATTTGGTAGTGAGACAGAGTGAAAATGTATACACATTTACATAGTGCTTGGCCAATATACTCGGCCTGGAATCTTTTTAATCTGCCCATTTTGGCATTCTACACTTCTTCCGTATTTGATCTTCAATACAGCGAACACAGCCAGCAATCATGTTTCTTTATCACCTTGGGCAAGATGCATGATACTGCTAACTCTTTAAAGAATTGTGCATTTAAAATGTAGAAATCAAAATATTATTAAAGGCCTGATTAAGAAAGACTAAATGATGAGAAAAACACATATTAACGGCTGTGACAGACATGTGATGTCAATAGAGTGGAAATTATTAAATGTGTAAACATTTTTTCTCTACCATGCATTTATATTATATTTATATTACTTCTTCTTGCTTGTGTAAATTTGATGTTCTCCTGTATGGTATCATTAATTGGTTTAATGTGGTTACTTATACTTAGCAACACATACGTGGTTATTCAAGTAAAAAGTTCTGGGAATTCAAAGTGAATACAATGTGAATTTCAAAATTTGGACCATTATAGCCGAATTAGCAAAAGTCTTCAACTTAGTTTTGTTTTTGGTTTGTCTATTTAGACCTTAAATGTGAAAGTCATTTTGAATTCACTTTGAACTTGCATTCCCAGCAATAATAACTTTAGTGAATAATCATGTAATTGGTTCTCCACATTAAAAAGTTGGACAATACTGTTTTAGTATCTAATGTTTATTTTTTTGACATTAAATTAATAGACAGAGGAAGTATATTACTCCTGGAACTGATCTCTCCTGCAGAGGTCATGCATATGTATTCTACATGCACTACTATTTAGTAGATATACCCCAATGAAAACACGTGTGCATTTCATTATGCATTTTTTCCATTGGGAATATATCTAAAAACAGCACAATCACATCACTGGCAGGTCCTCCTTTATCCATCTCGCACTGGCATCTGGCTTCTCGGGACACCAATGTGGGGGTTATGTTGAATACTTGCATATTCAGATGCTATTTGTTTGCTCTGATGTTAGTAAGTATGGTGATCCAGTATGAATTTTTTTTTTTTTTTTACATTTGACAATGATTATTGGTTTTGGGATACAGAAAAAAAAAAAAGGTTAGGGGGGGAAATAATATTGGTGTCCTGCAAGGGTATCACTCTTTTCTCTCAACGTGTGCTGTTTTCTTATTACTAGACCAATGAGTGGTGCCTATGTTGCTCTACATGATTGGGCAGCATATCCTTGACATGGACTGTAGTTGTGTGTATGTTCTGCTACTTATTGTGTATCATTAGTTTTAGTTGCGTGTTTTTGTGCAAAATCATCCCATTTGGCTTTTGCTTCCAGGGTACTAGTAAGGTTAAATCCCTGCCTCTACAAAGGATTCCATAGTATTACTGAATAACTGTCAGCTGGTGCCAGTTAGTGTCCTCAGACAGACAGATAAGTGCGTCGGCAAGATGTTAATGCGCCATGGACAGTTTGTAGTGGACCCAGTACTATTTTGAATTATTTAATTAAATGGACACTCTTGGTACCAATACATGTTTTGCACAATGCTGCACCATAAGCCTGCCTCCTTAGCTACACTACCATATGCCAGAACAAACTTCCTTATCAAAACATATGCACATAGTCTCAGCCCCAACAGCAATGAATGGCTTCAATGTGTGTCCTCTCCTGATGCAGGTTGTTTTGTGGTTCAGATCATTCAATACTTTCAGTGGATGAGCTGCGTGTATACATTCTTAAATAACAAAGTATTTTTCTGGACCGAGGAGGTGTGACTAAAGAGGCAGGCTTATTGTGCATTTATTGGAGCCTATAGTGTTCCTTTAAAGTTCTTTGCTCTATTAAAATGTGTTATATTGCCTACATTTAATAAATACACTAAATGCAGAATAATCAAGTTAGAGGGCCACACCATAAGGTGAGCTTAAATTAAACTAATAAGGGAAAACTCTAGTGTTCCCTTATTAATAATACTTCCATACTGTGTGCACTTAATAAACATGATTGCATAGATTTCTGTTCTAAGGCACCTGAATAAAGATTATGAATGATAAGAAACTATATTTTTTATATTGTACACTAATATACAGTATCTCGTAAGCATGCTCATGCTCATTGATGCAGAGGTAAAATTAAGAATGAATGCTGAATGAATGAAGAATGCTGCAATAGTTCACAGTTCTGCAGAGGCACCTACTTCTGCTAGTTTTGGTGTTAGAGCCAGACTTGGAGATCTGCATTCCGAAAGGTATATTCAGATTCTTTCAAAAAACAATGAAGGCATTAGAAATTTTTTATTGATTTCACTGTCATATATTTTATGTCTCAAAAATAATTTAATTTGGCCCATAAATATTCAGTCCTTCCAAAGAGTTACAAGACAAGATATATTTTATCTCTATTATTATTATCATTATAAACGTTCATATAGCAACATTTAATGCAGCACTTTACAATCATACAATAGGGTTGTTTAACCAGTAATTTAAAGACAAAAATAACAAGACAAGAGGTAAAGAAGATACTGCTCAACCAAGCATACAATCTAGGATAATTTATATACCTCTGTTTTTTTTATAAAATCATTTAAAATACATTTGTCTGTTCATGTACCTCTTTTTAATTTGTTAGATGTCCTGGAACAGTAGATTATTTTACCATTTGCAGTTTTGTCCTTACTTTATGTGTGCTACTGCTTACTATGGTTTTTTATTTTTATTTTTGTTTAGTACGGAGTAGGGCGTGGGGGCTTAAAAACACATTATTTGGCAAGTGTAAGAGAAATAGCCGCTCAAAGTAACCCCACAAAATGCATTAGTTTTACCCTTTAAGTGGTTATGAACAGAAGCAAGATTTATTGTCTGTCACTAAAATTGGCCACTGGTAATTGCTTTTTTAAATATATATTTATTTATCTGAGTATTTGCGGATATTGGGCCTGCAAATGCGTAGTAGAAATAATTGCGGTGCAATAGCAAGAATTTTCTAAATGTACCCTGCTGCATGCTAATTAGCATAAAGCATACCAATACGAGGGAAATAAGCATTGGATGATACAATTTCTTTTTTACATTCTTCAGGACCTTTATATTAAGAAGTGAATGTGTGGGTAGTCTCTTAAAAATAAAAATGAACTGAAGTCCCCAGGACCTGTTAATAAGTGGGGAGTCTAACAAGGTAAATAAATATAATTAAGCAGTATTGTCCAGCACACAATAGTAATCATGGATGAGTTGACCTTCCCCATGCTGGCAAAGGGGTTGATAAGAGAACAATTAATACTCTAGCCACATCCCTTGGGTCAATAATAACACTTTAATTTTACAATCAGATAGTCAGGGCTTGGGGACAGCGGATGATGTGACTGTGGGAAAATTAGGACAGAGGTACTAAATATCCCTTGATACATCTTGTAAATGGTTGAGAGGGGGAAACAATATTTGTTCTAGATTGTTTGGACAACTACCTTTCCCTAGAATTCATGAGAGTTTATTCTGATATAGGAGGTTCCTTTGCATTTTAATATAAGGAGATGGACTTTAAAAGCACTGCATTAATATATACACTGATCAGCCACAACATTGAAACCACCTGCTGAGAGCTCTGAACTGTCCTGTGGTATCAGGCACCAAGCCATTCACAACAGATCTTTTAAGTCCTGCAATTTGCAAGGTGGGACCTCCAAGGATTAGATTTGCTGTTCCAGCTCATCCCCCAAATGGTTCTTGGGATTGAGAACTCTTTGTCATGTTCCTCAAACAATTACTTTATAATTTATGCAGTGTGGCAGAGTGTGTTATCCCACTGAATGAATCCACTGTCACTATTGCACTATTGCCATGATGGGGTGTATGTAGTCGACAGCTATCTCTAGTTAAGTGGTACATGTCAAAGTAACACCCACATGAATGCCAGGACTAAAGGTTTCCCAGCAGAAAATTGCCCAGAGTATAACATTGCCTCTGCGACCTGCCTTTTTCCCATAGTGTATCCTGCTGCCATCTCTTCCGCAGGTAAGCAACGCACATGGCCATCCACCCGATCAAAAAGAAATCGTGATTCATCAGCCCAGGCAATCTTCTATTGCTCTATGTTCCAATGCTGAATCTCACGTCCCCATTGAAGGCACTCTCACGACCCCATTTAAGGCAGGGGTCATCATGGGCACTCTGACTGATCTGCAACTACAAAGCCCCATACGCAGCAAACTGTGATGCACTGTGTTCATCATGGCCAGCATTATGTTTTTCAGTAATTTGAGCTACAGTAGCTCTTCTGTGTGATCGGACCAGACAGGCTAGCATTCGCTCCCCACGTGCATCAATGAGCCTTGGACGCACATGACCCTGACGCTAGTACACTGGTTATCCGTCCTTGCACAACACTTGGTAGGTACTAACTACTGCATACCGGGAACACCCCACAATACTTGCTGTTTTGGAGAAGCTCTGGCCCAGTTGTTTAGCCATCGCTATTTGGCCCTTGTCAAAATTACTCAAATCTTTCCGCTTGTCCAATTTTCCTGCTTTCAACATGTGAAATTCAAGAACTGACTGTTCATTTGATGCCTAATATATTCCACCCCTTGATAGGTGCAATTGTAACGATATAATCAATGGTACTCACTCTTGAATCAATGCATCTCTATGAGGAAAATTCAGCATCTCCTTGCAGAACTTGGGGACGCTAAATGGCAGGGCTGCTTACTGTGCAGCCCTGAGCCAGGAAGCCCCTCCAGTGACCATCTAAGGAGTGGAAAATGCCTGAAGGGAGCTGTTATACTCACTAGAGCAACTACATTAAGCTTAGCGTATATATGATAAGGGAAGTAACAAAACTAAGGTCTGCCTGTATGTTTACTTTTTAAGATAAACCAATTGTAGATCACTTCTGAGGGACTCAACAAGTTAATTAAATTGTTGAAGCATGGAAAGTGAGGATTTGTGGTCTCTTAAATTGCAAGGAAAGGTGTAGAGAAGGGTAGCATGGACATTAGGTAATTTTTAATAATAATTTGTATGCATTTTCATCCTTTACTATGGTCAATGCAGAGGATGTTTTTCACTATGTTTCTCTATTGGGGTAGAACTTGCAATGCTATCTCTGTGCATGGTGCTGACCAAAATTCCCATGGATGTCATTGTTGCTAGTGTATTATCCTGATAACAGCAAAGACCTTTAAATGTCTGTAATAATGTATGGGGATTACAATATTTGTATGTCTTTGTATCCATTAGTCTCTCTATATTTTATTTTTTATTTTTTTCCCATTATAGGACCTAACGTTACTTTTAGGTTATACTTGGAATTTGAGGCAACTGTCTTTCTTTAGATGCATACGATGATGGCATTTCCTTTCCTAGTACAGCTACAGCATCCATATATTATTTACACCACAAGAGAGATTCTAGCTTTGTTACTCACTTCTCCTGTAGTGGGAAAACTATGTTTCAGCCTAGCAGCGTAAATCTGCCACAAACTGTGAGTGGAATTTAACCTATATTTGCATGATGAGCAGATTGTCACTGTATTCTATGTCTGCCATTAGTGCATACTTCTTTCCCAATTTTTAAAGAAAAGTAGATTTTTTAGTTTAAAGTTTATTTGATTTTCATCAAACTAAATTAGAAATAACGGATACAGTGTTATACGTGAACTGAAAGCAACAATGCGTAAGTCTTCTCCAATAGCAGAGTAAAACAACAAAATAAATCATACAAAAGGGAAAAAAAATTACAGTTTTTTCGAAACTGCAGTGTTTACATCCTGCCACTAGAGGCACTTGCCGGTCCCTAACCGTTTTACTCGATGAAACAATGTTGGACATCCTTGCGCTTTGCTTGGTTCAATTTCCAATGGGGTCGTTTTAATGTTTGCATGGTGAGTGCTATGCATGCACATTATGTTCTACCGTTGCCGTGCTGTAGCAGGAGACCTAGCTAGTGCAGAGTAAAAACTCATTCATCACCAAATAGTGGAAGGGGAACTATTCAGTTACAAACAGGGACATTATAGTTAGGAATACAGATTTGAATCTTTAACCGATTGGAAAACAAGAACTATTCCAAAGTGTCGAACACGTTTTTCAGTCCTCTTATGACCATACTTCCCAACATTTCAAAAGGACAAAGTGGGACACTTACATTTTAGGGGTGTGAGTAAGGTTTTGGGAAAGGAGACATTTTAGGTAAGTCGCTGTAAACAATTTATACAATTAAAATGTATAAATGTATCTTATTCATAAAGACTTATTTCTAAACACATTTATTGTAGTTTAAAGACACATTACTGTGAGTAGTATTGCTCTGTTATAGACTCAGAAAAACTAACAATATAGAACTCCTAGAAAAGAGTGACATTAAGATGACAGAGGGATTTGGTCCTAAAACAGGGACTGTCCCTCCTAAATCGGGACACTTGGGAGGCATGTCTTATGTGTATAATTCCATATATGCATTGGGACGGGATGTCTTTGTGTGAGTTAATTTAGTTTTTTGGTTTTTTTTTGTGTGTGTACTTTTATGTAATTTCTGTTTGCAAACACTCATGTTAATACTTGATTTACATTTCTAATGTAGCACTCTTAGCTAGGGTTCATAATCAATTATACAAGTTCAGTAACAAATCTAATATGGAACTGAATCATGTGGAATATTAGTAGATAAATGCTAATGAACCACCACTATGACTGTTGTAATATATGTTCAAGAGCAACTGTCAGATGTGTATTTTACACAGTACAATGCGTGAAAAATATAGGAGGGGGCCGAGGGACAGTGAGTGACCTAATACTTCGACATGGCCCTGAGTGTAAAGAGGGACTGACAGACAGTGCTTGGTCCACCATATATTTGTGGCATCTGCTGACTTTTGCATTTGCAGTGAGTTGTGTCACACCCTCAAAGCAAGATTCTGTGTAAAATTACGCAATATGGCTGACATGAACATTACTTTCCTTAAGGCTTTCTGAGGCAATCAGTTGGGTTATGTGAGGGAAGAGCCAAGCTTTATCATCCCTCATGTTTTTCACAGTGATAAAAAGTCCCTGCTTTGTATTGCATATTTTTTATCAAAACACGCAGCTACAAGGCTACTGGATTTCAAGCTTTATTAAGTGTGTCTGCAATACATGGTAGGAGGCAAATTTGAGTGGCAAAACCCTTAGACAAGGCCTTCAATAGAGGACAGTCCTTGATCCACCATATTATTTTGGTAACTGCTGGCATCCTTACTAAATTCCAGTGGCCAAGTAAAATAAATAATTAGCAAAACCCTAGTTTCTGCTGCATTTCAAACTTGACTAAGCATGTTCAACAATTAAAGGGACACTCCAAGTACCATAACAAAAATGTCCCTTTCCTCCTTTACCCAGTCAACGATAGTCACAGAGATTTACACAAGTTGCAGCTATAAGCCATTTTCAGCTTACTGTAAAATTAGCGAGATTCACATGTATCTCTTTTGCTTTATTCTGCATATTTTCCTACATAATGCTTTAAAAATGAGAAAAGGTTAATGCCAGTATCACATACCCATTTTATATATAACAAAGGCCTATGTTAGTACAAAAAAAGCACATTCAAGCATTATAATTCTTCTTGCTAGTTGAGTAAACCAAAGAAGAGGCTTATGAAGAATTAGTCTGTTAAGTATGTGTTAGAATACAAGTGCAACTCTATGTTTCACATAACTATAACTAATTGAATTCTTCCTGTTTTGGTGTATATGATACCTCCTCTACGTTATCTACTTCCATGTGTTCACAGTACCTCTGCCCTTTTCTGTCTTCAACCCTCCTTCTGTTTCCTCCGTATCACTCCTCTCTCCCAATCTTTGTTGGGGTAGTCACAGGGTTTGGCTTTGGCTTGAGACTTGATAATTTAAATCCTGTTTCTCTGGTTACACCTGTAAAACTGGCATGTCGCGGTATCTCTCTCAGAAAGATACGGGATAATGAGCAGGGTTAGAGTCAACCACCTAATGTAATTCTGGGGCACAACCTATTTCTAGAACTACCCACTTGATCTATGAAAATGTACAACTGTTGCAACCAACCCCTGCTAAATATGCCATCAATGTAGTTTTGTGATACCTATGCTTTACACTTCTTATGTTATTGGACTGCAAATCCCATAAACCCCAAAATGCATGCTCTGTTTTTGTCTGTCAGTGTTTTGTGTGATTTGTCTGCTGCAAACATGTAAATGTGTAGGTTGATTTCCCTATGTCATTATAGACTGTTTATTACTTCTTTTGGAAGTGTAACTTCATGACTAGAAAGGTGATTCTAAAACCTTATTACTTTTTTGTTTCTGGGCAGTAATATATATTGATCTGTTGAGATGTCTGTTCACAAACACAGCTAAAAGTTAACTCACTACCTACAAAATATACTTTGAATAATATGCAGAGTATCCACAAGCATTAATTTATTGCAAAGTTAGTTAAAGGACCACTCTAGGCACCCAGACCACTTCAGCTTTATGATGTGGTCTGGGTGCCAGGTCCAGCTAGGGTTAACCCATTTTTTTTATAAACATAGCAGTTTCAGTGAAACTGCTATGTTTATAAATGAGTTAATCCAGCCCTCAAATCCTCTAGTAGCTGTCTCAATTGAAAATCACAGTGAGAAGACGCCAGCGTCCATAGGAAAGCATTGTAAATGGTTTCCTATGAGACCGGCTGAATGCGCGCGCAGCTCTTGCCGCGCGTGCGCATTCAGCCGAAAGGGAGGAGAGGAGGCGGAGAGCTCCCCGCCCTCGCTGGAGAAAAGGTAAGTTTAACCCCTTTCCTCTCCCCAGAGCCCGGTGGGAGGGGGACCCTGAGGGTGGGGGCACCCTCAGGGCACTATAGTGCCAGGAAAACGAGTATGTTTTCCTGGCACTATAGTGGTCCTTTAAGCATTTCAGTTTGGGAGTATCTCAGTGCACACACCTTCTCTTTGCCAAGGATCAAGTTTATGGAAGGAGACCACTAGTTTTTTATGACCGCAGATAAACACCATCACAGGCCCTATGTGAATATACTGTACATTCTTGATCGTTACATTAAGCAGTGTTGTCTGGGCTTTCACAGGGGTAGTTTACATCAGGGTGATGATTCTAAATCTTTCTGATGACCAGATGTCTAGGCTACAAATTACATGTAGATTCACAAGCATTCACTAGTTAAACATTTGTGTCACCATAAAACATATTTCAAACCTTTAAAGTGTTAGATATGCCAAAATAAGATGTTAAAGGAACACTCTAAGCACCATAACCACTAACCACTACAATCTGCTGTAGTGGTTAGGGTGCCATGAATGCCTCCTAAAGTTAATAGTCAAAACATTGAGAACGGTTTGTACCTGGGGTCCTCGTTGCACCTGCCGTCAACTCAGTGCACAGCTTCCTGGCTGCAGAGCAATGTCCGACTGTGCAGAGAGGCAGCAAGATTGCTCACTTGCTAGGAGATTCTTCTGTTTTTGTAACTCAACATTTTTATTGTATTTTAGAAGTTTAGTAGTTTTACATTCTGAAAATATCATAGTAGCATCTGTAAATTTAAAGTGGGCATAACACACAAATATCCTGACAGGGCTTGATTACAAAGCATCAAACTGTTACACACACCCAGCCTTAGACCGTGTTTCAAGAGCTTGGGAGTTAGTAGAGACATGAGCCCGTCAGATGTTGAATTCTTCTGAAAGGGAAAATACTACTGGAAAAGATGAAATTGGTGTATAGACCTGATTGGATCAGATAGTGGTTATTAAACTTGTGGGAAAATGTGTTCCACACTGGTTTGTTCAAATCACATTCCACTTAATCCAGAACGAATCTTATCACCAAGGATTTACCTGTGGAGCATTATTCATTAAATAAGACATCAGACGGAGTTAATCTTCAATTGTCGATTAGGAGTAATAGAAGGATTTTTTTCTTGTTTGTGATGCAATAGGAAATTGGTTCAAATTATATTCAACATCAAAAAAAGATAAGTGTAAAAGGCTGATTTGAAGGAAAATTTTCAAACTATATTACCCTGCAACAATGTATGTGACATTCCTAAGAATGCTGGGGTCCAGAATCATTGCTTGTTACATGTATGTCATCTGTCTATGGCATTTGCACTTGTAACTCATTAATAATCTATGAGAGATTGCCAGATAGCCAGTCTGCCAGCAGACAGCTTCATACCTTTTGGCTTTTTGCCTATTCCTCACCCTTGTATACACCCCAAATGACCTACGTACGTGTTGAAATAAAGGGATAGTTCCAGGATCTGCAACACTATCCATGCATTCGCACATATATGCTCTAGGTCACAAGAATCCAGCTTGTTTTTTTAAACTTTAAAACAGGGATCCTGTAAATATTTGGCATCAGTATGTGTAAGAATTGTAATGCGTATGGACACAAGTAGTAACGTTAACAATGGAACTTTGGCTTTCTAGCTAAACAAAAGCTGAAAGACTGCACTGGAACTGCTGTTCTTCAAAGCAAGTCATGGTTTATTAGTGTTAGATATCCCATAGTACTGATGTTCCTCTGGTGGCAGTCAGCCTTAAAGTGTCTCTCTCACCTCAAACCTTCCTCCTATTGTTTCCTCTTTGCTTGCTCTTTACTTAATTTCAGATCTATTTGTCTTTAAAACAGAACACAAAGTCTTATGTTTTTTTCTTACGCTTGACAATTATGTAGGTAGGGTGGAGCTTAACTAAGTTCCACTTCCTCTGTTAAGGAAAATTCTCCCATTCTTCTCTTCTCTATTATATACTTTCTCCGTTGCCTCACAAGATCATCTTGCATCATTTGAGAATGCTGGGCAAAGAGCATGCGTGGGATTTATATCCCATTGCATACTTGAGGCTGAAGAAGGTAGTGAGGTTATGTGACTGCCAGGATTTACAAGATGGCGGCGCCGTGAAAAAACATCCAACAGAACAGAGACTATACAAGTGTGAGGAACTGACCCTGGTTTACATACTGCTAAACCTCTTCCTTACCAGTACACCAGCCTGCCTTTTGCAAATTTACCTGAGATCTGATAACCTTGACTCTACAAGCAATGGTATCAGTGACAACTCTATTCAACTGTGTTTAGTCAGGTGTCTGGTTCTTGGCCTATATAAGCCACTTCCTGTCTCTCTACCTTTGCCAGATTATTGTGGTTCCTGTACTCTCTAATCAAGCTTGTTCCTGTTTCTCCTACCTGTTGCTGAATTTGGACCGTTTTGACTTTGCTGCTTCTCCTTCCCACTGACCTCGGCTTGCCTCACTACGATTATCATCTTTCTGTTCCAGTCTCTCATCTCTGCTTAAGACCAGACGGCCACTCAAGGCTCAGGGGCTCAACCACCTGGGTAGCGAATGGCTACCTCTGGCAGAAAACATTGCTGATCTGGCTACTGGACTCCAAAACTTTGTAACATCAATATCATTGCAACAAGCTTGGAGAAAATAATGACAATAAGGGGGAAGTTAGGGGCTAAAGAATAAGGAAGACAAGTAGAAAAGAAAAAGTTTTTCTGTGACAGAGCCGCTTTAACATGGCTACTTTTGTACAGGCCCAGACTATATGAAAGGCAGATTCTTTGTGTTGTATTTCATCATTATTTAATAGCACCCCTGGCCATGCTTTATAATAATATATGCCCCTGAACATTAAATTGTTGGACAATTCACATTAGCATGTCGATAGGTTCTTTTAACAGGAGGCTGGTAAATCATGAAACCCCCTATAGTTACCCACTGGGACCAAGTGTCCCTGCAGAGTTGAGGTGTGGATGCCGGTCTCTCTCATGATAGCTATGCTGTAACATTGCATCATTAGTAGAGGAGGGGTGTGTCCATGGAAACCGGTCTCTGGATAGCAGACTCTCTGATTAACCCTGTATATACTGTGACAGCACACGTCTGTCATATTTATTTTTATAACCTGTTCACTTGTCTTTCACAACAGTAACAAGCTAATGTCCATTATCTGTTTAAAGCACTTTAAGGGTCAGTCCCTGGTAGGTGTGAAATGATCTTGAAATAGCGATTTCTAATAGATAAAATAAGTGCATGTGCCGACCTACATTATATTAGTGTAACATGAATTCTTGGGCATGTCGGAACTTATCAATTGTTAAAAATAAAGTCATGCAAGTAACCAGAATCCAACACACATGGTTAACCTTTTTGAATTCTTTACTGTCTGTAATGCTACACAAAATATTGGGATAAGAAAATTATTAAATCTTGGATGCAATTAGATTTGTTTGCAAATGTAATTTGTTTGGGTTGGAGGAATCAAGTAAAGATTTGTTTCATATTATCGGTATGGCTTTAAGATATTGTAGATGTACACATTCTAATGTGTTTGAATTAAATGAAAGACAAGTTTACTTTTTTGTCCAGGGAGAAATGCAGGGATATTCTGGAGTCCAAAAAATATTTTACCCCTTACTGATGCAAAACTAGCACTGCCTGGAGAAGGGCTTGTATTCAAGTTTTACATTTGTGAATTCTATGAATGGACTTCTGAAAGATAAAATATATTATATATATTTGTTCTTTTTTTCCAATTGACTAGCATGACGATATTCATTTGTACAGTTTAATACCGCTAAAATAGATATCTAGGAAAGTAATCAGAACTAACTGCAGGAGGAAGGAAAGGGTAGAAGAAGAGAGGTCAGAGAGACTCTGAAAGGGTTGTTATTGTAATTGGTCCCTTAGTGTAGATGTTGTAATACACAGGCAGAGTTACATATTGTATCACTCTCCTATCCCCACCTTCCTTTTACCTCTCACTCCCACAACATCCTGCCTCTTGTACATTCTCCAACTATCTCATACTTAATATCTCTCCTTTTTTAATCCTTGCTTTCATTCCAGTAACACACCCCATCCCTCATTCTCCTATTCTTTCATCAGCCAAATTATTTTCCTGTCCCCCGGTTACTTTTATTCATTTCCCTTTCGGGTCATCCAAATGCTTTCTTTTCTAAATGTGACTTTCTATCATAACTCCTTATGCCTTGCTCTGTTCTATGTTTAGTCCCAGTCTGACCCCTAGTTCCTTTAAAGTTGTAATAGAACTACAGGGAGTTCACTACCCCTCACTACACACCCCCAGCATCAGGAAGTCAGGTTCTGTCCTCAGATGAACCCATGAAAACACTCCTACTCATCCTGAAACAATAACGTAACTCTGACTGCTTGAGAAACTATACAAATAGGATATAAAGATCCGTTTTACAGAGATGAATGACTGCCATGCAGAAAAATAGGTATAAGAAAAGGGACATAAATACACTGAGGACTCAGAGTATAGCGAGAAATAGGAGAGGTTATATGAGGCAATATTAGTAGTTATATAGAGAGATTATATAGACAGATATGAGGGTTAAAGGACCACTATAGTGCCAGGAAAACATACCTGTTTTCCTGGCATCATAGTGCCCTGAGGGTGCTCCCACCCTCAGGGTCCCCCTCCCGCCGGGCTCTAGGGAGTGGAAGGGGTTAAACTTACCTCTTTCTCCAGCGCCGGGTGGGAGACTCTCCGCCTCCTCTCCTCCTCCTCGGCTGAGTGCGAATGCGCGGCAAGAGCCGCGCGCGCATTCAGCCAGTCTCATAGGAAAGCATTCACAATGAGACAGCCACTAGAGGCTGGATTAACCCTAATATAAACAAGGGTTAATATATTAACCCTAATATAAACAAAGGTTATAGAAAAAAGGGTTAATCCTAGCTGGACCTGGCACCCAGACCACTTCATTAAGCTGAAGTGGTCTGGGTGCCTATAGTGGTCCTTTAAAGACAGCTGGCTAGCACTCAATATGAGGAGTTTTAGAGGGAGTTATATAAAGAAATAAGACTCAATATAGGGAACTGTTATAAAGATATGGGTGGGTGAAAGGATATTTCTCTGCAGAGATAGAAGTGTTATATATAGGAGGAGTGATAGTGAGATGTTCTATAGAGAGATAGGAAAAGTTATATAGAGAGATAGGAGGAGTTATAAAGAGGTTATATAGAGAGATAGGAGGAGTTATAGAGAGCGTTTATATAGAGTGATAGGTGGCGTTTTAGAGAGAGGTTATAGGCAGAGATAGGAGGAGTTATATATATATATATATATATATATATATAGGTTATATAGAGAGATAGGAGTTATATGGAGAGATAGGAGTTATATGGAGAGATAGGAGGAGTTATTGGGAGAGGTTATATGGAGAGATAGGAGGAGTTATAGGGAGAGGTTATATAGACACATAGGAGGAGTTATAGGGAGAGGTTAGATGGAGAGATAGGAGGAGTTTTAGGGAGAGGTTATATGGAGTAATAGGAGGAGTTATAGGGAAAGGTTATATAGAGAGATAGGAGGAATTATAGTGAGAGGTTATAGGGAGAGATAGGAGGAATTATAGGGAGAGGTTATATAGAGAGATAGGAGTTATAGGGAGAGGTTATATGGAGTTATAGGGAGAGGTTATATGGAGAGATAGGAGGAGTTATAGGGAGAGGTTATATGGAGAGATAGGAGAGGTAATATGGAGAGATAGGAGGAGTTATAGGGAGTGATAGGAAGAGTTATAGAGAAAGGTTATATGGAGAGATAGGAGGAGTTATAGGGAGAGGTTATATGGAGAGATAGGAGGAGTTATAGGGAGAGATAGGAGGAGTCATAGGGAGAGGTTATATAGGGAGATAGGATGAGTTATAGGGAGAGGTTTTATAGAGAGATAGGAGGAGTTATAAGGAGAGGTATATGGAGTAATATTAGGAGTTATAGTGAGAGGTTATATAGAAAGATAGGTGTTATAGAGAGAGTTTATATGGAGAAATAGGATGAGTTATCAAAAGAAGTTATATAGAGTTAGAAGACGTTATACAGAGAGTTTATGTGGGGAGATAGGAGTTACCATATTTGTGCTATTTAAGAGAAATGTGTATAAAGATGTGCACTCTCATTCTGTCTGCTTTGTATTGATCCAGTCTCCAGTGACTTCAAGAACTTGAGGTCACATGAGGAGAGCAGACGCTCCCAGCACATATTTGTCTTTGCTGCGTACATAATTTTTACTGCCACACCATAAAAGGATTGTGAACTTGAGATCTCAGTGATAGTATAGTTATACATAATGAGCTGCATAATATTGCTCAGTATTAATGTACACAGCATAAATACACAGTTTTCTATGAAAGATATTGGTAATCTATACACTAGAAATTAACACGTTGCACTCTATAACAGTGCTGAGTCTCTAGTGACTGATTATTAGAACATTAAGCAGGTCAGTGAGACTCAGGCTTTAAGATTTGTCAATAACACACTATATAGTCATAGTATCTAGAACAGGAGGACACAATAGTTAAATCAATGGCAGGGTTATTATAGTGAAATGAAACTGCAATGACAAAATTCAGGCGAAAGTAGCCAAACCTTGTCTAAAGCTGCTTTGAAAAGTTTTACCTAAATCTTGTCATTCGGATTTCAATTCACTGCATGAGTTTAATGAATAAATCCATAGATAATATTGAACTATAACTCCTATAATCCGTATTCAGCTGTTTGTTAGGCATATCTCGACTGCAGATCAACCATAGCAAGAGAATTGCTTATTACACTGCAATGGAAATGAACACTCAGTGCTTAAAATTACTGGGGTTTATTTGTCAAATACTGAATTATAGGTAATAGAAAACCAATCTGCAAAAAGACTAGAATAGACAAAGCGTGGCTTTCGTAGATTTGGAGGATTCCAATTCTTTTTTTGGTTTTAAATTCACTACCATTTGTTGTTTTAGTGAGTTAACTCTACTGAGTATCAATTCACTTATAATCAACCTACTGGCCTGTGGATTGCAGATAGTTTGATAAATTCTTGCAATGTCAGCTGAGAGTGTTTTACATGCTGTAAATTTTTCATTGGAAGCTCTCACTCAGCTATGTATTGCAAGGCTGTCCAACAGTAGCCCTTAAGACTTATGAATAAAACGTACATTTTTCATAGTGACGTGCAAAATTCCTTCACTAACAATTAGCTAATTCTAGAATGCAGTCAGAAAATGTCCTTCAAGTACTGAATTTGGCAGCCATGTCCCTTTGATTAATGTATGGTTCAACAGATCTTTAGTGAAAATTTTCTATACAGAGGTCTGGTAATATAATTTGTGCCCAGACCTTCTAAATACCATTTTATTTTTGAAACAGTATACATCTTTGAAAATACTATCCATTGTTCTTCTCAAATGGAACGAACACTAACACCTAACTAAAAGGCCATGGAAACCATTAAAACATCTCAGAGAACATTTAGAACGTCGCAAAGAATTGCCTGTTTAGCTGCGATAAATCTGACCTGTTGAATTATTATCCAACAATCAGTGAGCTCTCTGGTCAACCAACAAGATGTGAACCAATATACCAGTGTTGGAAATATGTTTAGTGTACGTTTTCCTTTTTAGTGAATATATCCTATAGCAAATATTTAGCACTTCATTTAATCTCAAATACTTCAAATGGGAGGGTGTATACTCATAGTGCCTAGCCTTACTTTGCTTGATCACCATAATTAGCTGCCTCAGGCAATTAAAACTCTGAAGGGTCACATTCCCTTTTGGCTCTGAGGTTTCCATTTGTCCTCCCTGGTCTATAATTTATTACTCAAATTACAAACATATTCTGAGAATTTTTCTAATTACTGTTGCTCAAACCCTCATTGAAGCAAGTTATTATCAGGGACTACAAAGGCATCATCATTATTCATATACTGCAAATTCAGTATTCATACTCAAAGTCCAGGGTACCGGTTACTACAGGAATAATACTCAGAAGTATACATTGCATCAAGTTTATCTTACCAGTATTTGGAATAATATTGTCATATACACCATACTTTCACATGGATACATCTAATTTGTATGTATTCATGAGTAGCACTTGAAAAACAATGCTCTGTGATATATAGAACTCTTATGTTGCAGGTAGGGCATATGCATATAGTCAACAATCATTATGGAATACTGAATCATATAAATCCTACATACTACAGGGCAATTTTTTTACTACTACTACAGGGTTGCTGTTTGATGACCCCTAGATCTGAAGCAATCTATATGCAGAAAAACATCACAGTAAAGTGTTCTAATATCCGTATATGTACACATTGATTGGCTGCCTCTGAAGTAATGCAAATTATGATTTGGAGATTCTCACTGCTGCTGCATAGTGAGGCACTTGCTTAATTTGACAATGGTACTATGTCATTGAAAGTGAAGTGATGGAACATGAGGACTAAGTTGTATGGTTATGAATACATCCATGTAAAAATGATAAGTGGGGCTAGTAATATATTGTATCGAAATGCAAGCTCCATTGCTGGGAATTCAAAGCGATTTCTAAAATTTAGGCTAGGATAGCTGAATCTTTTCAGTTCAGCTATTCTTGCCTGAAATTTGAAATTCACTTTTCATTCAGCTAACACTTTAGTGAATAACCTTACATGATGTTTAGTAATCATCTTAAACTGAACGTTATATGTCAATCTACGTACTAATTGATTGATTCATTCTGATTTATATGGCGAACCGATTTGTTAGTTTATAGGTTGACAAGCATTTGATTTGTTCAATGCAACTGAAAGGGATTTGTGCATAGGTCTAGTGCACATATTATTAACAAATTGTGTGGATGGCAGGTTCACCTTTAGGTAGGTACAAAGTCAATCTATATATTATGCTGGGGAAATTACCATTATATGTATGGGTTAGGGTATTTATTCACCTGAACATTAATCAATACATATTCTAGTGATTTGGCTCCATTTTCTGTAAAGTGACATTAAGTCCTCTTGGTCGTGACTGATGCATGTTAAGGATAAGGAGTGCCCGTGGCTTTCTTAGCATCACTGAACTTCTAGTTCCTGAATAACTTCAGATCTATCTTTGGACATTCCCTGATCCGTAGAACAGTCAATTAATCACGGCTTATAGCCCTAATATTTCTCATTCCCATGTGAAATCTATTCTATTTGTGGGCATTTAGCTTCTCGTGCCAGCTTTACCAGTGAACAGATATTTATTATTCATATACATATTATACATACATCTTGCCCATCTGGAATAGCCAGCTGTTAATGAGCTGGAAGTGCCAAAAGCTGGCAGATGATTATGAGAATTATAGTTTTGAGCTAGCGGCAAATCTACCCTTTTGACGTTCTTCACGTATGGACACGCGACATATGATACCCAGTTCTGCATTTTTTATTTCAAGTGTAAGATACATACACTTGCATGAGTTTTGTTAATTATGAATATACATAGTGTCATCATTCATCATCACTCAGCATTTTCACTCCGCACAAAGGGGCTATGTGAAAATATTGGAGCAATTTCTAACCCGACAAATTATTTTATTTTTAGCATTTCACATTCATAGCATTTGTAAAAATATCTAGAAAGACTATATGTATAACAAATAAAAGTGGGCATATAATGTTCGTTTAGTTTGCTGTGTGATACCAGGGCTAAAACATGGTGCAATTTACAACTAGGTTTATATATTGTCTGCACACAAATTCCAATAATAAATAAACAATAATTAGATATTTTTTCCTGTTTTGACAAAGCTGGCTCATTGATATTTTAGTCTGGCTGGAGTCATTTTTACTCATAAGCACATATAATTGTGTCACAATTTCAGCACTTTTCTTCTTAAAAACATTTTACTAAAAATCCCAATACTTTTAATATCACTATAATCATTATGCAGTGCAGGACATTCATTATCAATAGAAAGATACTCAGTGTTATTTTGCAATGAAAGACCTCCATCTGAAATATACAGATACACAGCATTACTATACTGTGCAGCATGTACATTATCTTCACCGTTATACGGTGTGATGTGTTCATGATATTTCTGCGATATCAGGTGATACTCAGTATAAGTATGTATCCTGGTTTCAATCTCTCTGTCCCTACAAACACCCTGTCAGGTTTCCATAGTAACCCTCCCGTCGCCGGGCGTCATGGTAACCGTCTGGGGCTCCCGTAACCAGGGCGACGCGTGCGCTTCCCCCCACACTTGCACACACACACACACACATTTACAGAGGGAATTCCCTACTCCCCCTTTTCCTTAAAGGAGCAGTGCGTTAATTCCCTGGGTTAGCTCTTGGGGGTCTTTGCGCACTTATCATCTACAGTTTCTTTATTGCAGTCTTGTATGTGCCTAATTACATTATCAAAAATAAGAAATTGTATCTCATAACCATTACCTGTTAACGTACACTGGTATAGTCACCTTCTACTCATACATAGAATGCATGTATAAACCGTTTAGGTTTAGAGCCATTTATAATTTAAGTAGGCTTTTAACTCTCATTAGTCTTATTTATTTTATAGTGTTTTATTTTAAATATTTTTAATCCAAACCACTCTTCCCATCTCATTATTCCCTCTACATATTTCATCTCTTTCCCTTCACATCAGTCTTATATCTGTCTATTGCTTTTATTTATTCAAGGGCAAATCTCCCCCTCCCTTCCCTTCCCCTCTAGTTAGTCCCCATTGACAGCTAGAGACATCACAGTGTTAAATTGTCAGTGCTGCCATGGTGGTGTGGCCGAGTGCCTTCAGCAGTGCCCACAAGTGGGTGTGAAAATGTCTGGTCCTGCCAAAGTGGACATAGCCTGTCTCTGTCTAATATATGGATCTCTGCATCTCTTTACAGTGAGTTTTGGTGTCTAAGTAGCACTGCCCTTTCCATTTAATAAAGTTACATAGGACCTTAACATCCGTCATCAGCATGCAGCACAGCGTGCTCATGTCTTTTTTCACAAGTAATATGCTAATAGCTTTTTCCCTATGCTTCATAGTATTCTAAACCTAAATCGTTTAGCTTGAGGCAGCAGTATTGTCAAAATTTGTGCATTTCAGAGGAAGAGATTTAACCCCACATGATGCACCTCTCACACTCTATATAAGGCTTTCCAGTGAATGACTTTCCACACTACTTGTAGGCTCTGATGGCAGCATGAAGTCTTTGGTGCTGTTACTAGCAGCTGTGTGTTTCAGTTTCGATGCACAGATTAATATCCATCATTATACAGTGTGGGCAGTTCAGTAGAAGAATAAGGATGATGCACATTTTGCACTGCAGCTGTGTGAGGATATCACCTTAAAAGATACAGATAGAGTAGGTAAAATAGATATATCAGTCCATTCTTTATTGTCTTTTGAGAAAAAAAACACTTTAATCTGCAGCTTTATATGCAGCAGTGGATTTGTGGGTTTGTAGTTATGGACATTCTAAAAATTATTATTATATTCAGTTTATGCATTATATTACACTGTTTGTCAAAGGTCACTGCAGCTGATACAGCTCATATTTGAAAAATATGTGTGTTTTTTGTTATTTTTAATGTTTCCAGAATCGTACAATTGTTTTATTTTTCCCTAATACACGCTTCATTGGTATATATATATGTTTACAACTAAGTTTAGTGTTAGTGTTTGGGTTGCTTTAATTGTAGGATAGTACCTAGACACATATGCCCAAGATTAGTGAGAGTTACACTCATGGGCGGAAATGCCTTCTCCAGACAGAAATATGTCAGCAGAGGACCTGGGGGAGGGGGGGACAGAATTGCAATATTTCTATCTCCTCAGCTCCTTTACAGAAATATTATCTGAAAAGGGCTGCATTAAAACTACAGTAGATGCATATAGCAGCTTCTGTCTGGGAGTATAACTTGCACCAATCTTACCATGTATGTCCTGACACTGCTCTGAGAGGATTAAGGGCCATGCTGTGCACGGTGACAGTCACATCATGCATATTACAGAGAATGTATGTATTGTGTTTCTATCTCTATACATGCCTCCCAACACTTCGATTTTTGGGTCCTGTCCTGACTTTGTTCCCTGGTATGCCATTTTTTTGGGACACCAGGGAACTGTCCCCAAAAAACATAGTGCAAGCGGATCATTATATGCATTATATGTGTTCGCGCTACGCTAAGGGCACTAGGACCCTGCAGAGAACACTGAAACAGGGCTTCCTGCACGACCAGCCCTCAGTGAACTGGCCTGTGGGTTTTAAAGACAGCCTGGCATGCATTCACATCAGGCCAACTGTAAGTTTTTCAGGCAGAACCACTCCTTTTTGGGCACGTCTACCCCTTTGCGTCACTGGTTCAGTCACCTGTCCTCCCCCGTAATGCAGGATGAAGTCTAAAATACAATGCTTGTCTGTGCGCATTTGCATGTCAAGCTGGGAACTCTGATTTGTCAAGTTTCCATATACAAGAAGGACCTTTTAACGTCCTACCTGATATATGCAGGTTTTATATATATATATACACACACACACATCAAAGTATTCATATTTTTACTTACAGTTTTGGCCTGTAAGGGAATATTGGATTCTGGATTGGATTTGTAAAGTTGTAAAGCAGTCCCTCTGATTTTGAAGTGTATTGATACTAATTATTGTTTTATAATGCAGTATTCATTAATTAAAAATATTGAGCATCTAACGGAGGAGGGAAGTGAGTTCCACAGGGGTGCAGCCCTCGAGAAGTCTTGAAGTCAAGCATCAGAGGTGGGAGTATGGACAGAAGATAGACGTAAGTCTTCAGCAGAGCGTAAGGGCCTAAACGGGACATACTTGTGTATTAGGGAGGATAGATAGGTGGGAGCAGAATTATGTCGAGATTTGAAAGCAAGAACCAGAATTTTAAATTGAGCCCTATATCTTACAGGAAGCCAATGTAGGGACTGACAGATGGGTGAGGCGTGGGAGGTGCAGGCGGACAGGAAGATGAGCCTCGCCGCCGCATTCATTATGGAATGTAACGGCGCAAGTTGGGAGCAGGAAAGACCACTGAGAAGTGGATTGCAGTAGTCAAAAACAAGAAAGGACAGTGGAATGGACCAGCACCTTACTCGCATCTGGCGTTACGTAGGGTTGGATGCGTGCAATGTTTTTGAGATGCAAGCGGCAGGATTTGGCAATAGACTGAACATGACGGATGAGGTCGGAGTCAAAGAGAACACCTAGGCAACGAGTCTGTGTGGTGGAGCTGATGGTAGCACCATTGACTTGGAGGGAGACACAGGAGTAGCAACACTTGAGGGAGGAAAGATCAGAATTTCAGTTTTGGTCAAGTTTGAGTTTAAGGAAGTGGGCAGCCATCCAGTTAGCAATAGCAGAGAGGCAGTCAGAGACACTAGTCAAGAGGGACAGGGAGAGATCAGGAGAGGACAGATAGATTTACGTGTCATCCACATAGAAATGATATTGGAAGCCAAAGAAGCTAATGAGTTTACCAAGGGAGGCAGTATAGATAGAGAACAGTAGGGGACCAAGGACTGAACCTTGGGGGACTCCAACAGAGAGGAGTTGGGGAGAAGAAGCAACTCCTGAGAAAGAAACACTGAAAGAGCGCTGGGAGAGGTAGGAGGAGCACCAGGAGAGAGCAATATCTTATTATCCACTGCGTGGGAATCATATTTGATGTTAAGACACTAATAAAGATGGATTTAACATAACATTTGTATCTTGTAATATGCATATATTAATATATACTAATACTAATATATTTTGTTGGCATCATATAGCGCCATTTTATTTTGCAGAGCTTTAACATTTAACAATAAATGAACCAATTATAAATTGTTACAGGAACAATAGTTTGATGAAGACCCTGCTCCAAAGTGCTTACAATCTGAAGTAGGTATGTGTGTGTATATATATATATATATATATATATTTTTATATATATATATATATATATACATACACATATACAACTCCAGAAAGCGTTGCACTCTAACTATACCATAGTCAATGTTTCAATTTTGATTTAAAACTTTTGTCAGGAAATGTTGACAAATAAAAGTTACTTTTTATTGAAGAAGACCCTCTCTTCTTGGAATTTGATATTATATTCTGGATTTAAATACCAGGCACATAATATATCCCAGACACATATGTGTATGTGTGTGTGTGTGTGTGTATATATATATATATATATATTTATTTTTTTCCTGGAAATACTACTTATCATTATACACTGTATAGAACATAGTCTATAGTATTCAGTAGTTAAATGCTGGCCCTTCAATCCATGAACTCTCATTTTCAAGCCAAAGGTTTATTAAAAAGCTAGCCAAAATCCCCTATGAATGTGAGATTAGAATAATGTGTTTAACACAGATTTTCTTTTTTTTTGTTCATGAAATGCTGTGCTTCATAAACCATTCATCAGTAGGCTCGGGTGGAAAGAGCAGCTGTTTATCTCCAAAAATCTGTACTTTGCAATGATGGGAGACCTCGGGGGACTGACCAGGCAGGAGGGCGTGCTTGGAACGCCCACTCCACTGCAAGCCACAGCTTGCCCTCTTTGAGCCAGCATCCTCATCCCATAGGGACATAGGCACACCAACCTAGCTATCTTTGGTACATGCAGTGTTTAATTATCCTGCAACTTTTTAGAAGACTGCTACACCAACTGTTCTAAGACAATCAATGTTTAATTCTAGTACTGATAAATCTGTGACAGTACTGGGTAAGGGATAAAACTAGGGACAAATGTTATCTAACTCAATGTGTGTGTCTCTCTGTATAGCAAACACCCATATATTTTTATAAACTTTACCAGATATCAACAAACAGTGTTTAACTTCAGGAAGGTATTACTTTATCTATACATTGTGCTTTAAAAGTCCCCAGCAAATGGATGAATAAAATTGCACTTAAACAACATAACCACTACTGCTAAGTGTAGTGGTTATATTGCCTAGACTGCCTTGGCACCATCCCTCTGTTTAATGTCAAGTTGTTTAGGGACAGTTTGATATAAACTAGGGCTCTTCCTATCACCCAGAGACTGTCCGTTGTGTTTTCAAGATTATGTGTGTTTTTAAATAAATGTGCCTCCAAACACTCAATAATTCATTATGCGATATATGTACTTACAAAAGCATACAGTCAAAAGTCAGTTGAATTTGAATATTAACATATTATATGACGCTGCAAATCTATGTCAGTCTGCATTCTCATTTAGTTATATATTTCTAATGTGTAACATGGTTATATGATCTTAGAACATACAGTGATATAATTTCTAATTAGTGGGGTAATAGCTGCTTGATCCAGGGAGATATCTGACTGCCATTTTGGGTTCAAGAAGGAATTTTCCCCTAGTTTGTTGCAAAATTGGAAGCGCTTCAGACTGTTTTTTTTTTGTCTCCTCTTGGATCAACAGCAAAAACATATGCGAGGAAGGCTGAACTTGATGGATGCAAGTCTCTTTTCAGCTTTATAACTATGTAACTATGTAGAAGACATGTAGAAGTGTCCTTGCTAGATATTTTCTGATTGATGTTAAAGTAACACTATTTAGTCCCCCTTTCCCTCCTCAAAACTAGTAAAAACTCATCTTACTTCCAGGGACTCTCAGGTCTGCCCACATTGGCTCCTTTCCTGATCTGCCTCCTTGGCTGACACCATCAGAATTGATCATCTCAGGCAATCAGAATGCTTTCCTCTAGTGAGGAGTGGCCACTAGAGGTGTAACTAGGCTGTAATGTAGGCAGTATTTACATGAAAATGCATGCAGAGACTGATTAGTCTCACCAGAACAACTACAATATGATGTAGTTCTTCTGGTGAGTATAGTGTCCTTTTTAATGATCGTGCTACCTACTGCAATTAAATAGTCTGCAGTTGCTCACTAGGACCAAAAAGGACTGTTTGGCCCTGAGTGTGACTCCCACACTCCAGCATAAAAGAAGCTTAGAAATCAGAAATTGGCATGCTTAACAGTGCTAGGGTTATTTACTAAAGTGAGAATTCAAAGTGACTTTAAAATTTAAGGCCAGAGACTGAAAGCGTAACTATGATTCAGATGAAAAAACCTGGATGCAAAAGCTTGATTAGTACTTTGCATGTTCATGTGTGTGTATAGTATACTATTCCTCTGTACACATGCACAGACAACCATACACCTATTTAAATAGTTTCAATAGGATTTTAGCTCTTACTTGACTTTCATGAAAATTATGCTTCTTATCATGCCTCTTTTATAAATTCTACATACATTTGACAATGTCTAATGTCATACAACGTACCCTCCATCTGTTTAGTATTTCTTTTTTCCTTTAGTGATCTCTTTGCATACATCATCTGCTCGTTTTGCCCTTCTTTCTGCCCTGTCTTTTGTAACGAACCTATAACCCACGGGTGTTGAAAATAGCATGCTAGCTCTGTGCGTGCACAGATATCGTGGGGTGATGTGACATTCAGTGACCCGAACAGACCTAACACGCAACAGTGTTTCTAACTGAGGGGAGGGGGCATGAACAGAGGAGAGGCCGCAGCGACCACCTTTTGTATATAGTTATATTTATAATGGATAAATGTAGCAAGTACCTTAGAACATGCTGCCTCATAAGCAAATTATTTAATTAATAACTCCATAAAACACTGACCTTTATCAGTATATTATACAGCAACACAAGATTGCATGCTTTTCATCAGAAAACGAGTGTATTCTTGTGATTAATAGGACTTGCCCCTTACACTCAGTAAATCCTAGATTTGTTACTATTCTAATTATATCTGCTACTGGATCCTCAGATTTATATTGTCTGAATATGTATATGCCGGTATGGCTTCATTAAAAGACTAGTACACGTTTGTCATTAAAAAGACATGTCCTTCACTTCACTAAATCCTAGATTTGTACCTGATCTGGCTGTATTTCATTTTGGATCCTTGGATTTCATTGCCAATGCATTTATCTGTCTGTGTGACTTCCTTGATGCACTGTGAAGTTAAAATTATACAAAGCCATCAACATATGCAATCTGCATATTCTAGCAGTTATTTTGCGCATATCCTAAAATTTTCATGTCTATGTACACTCTAGCAAATCTCTCTAGTTGGACTCTATCAGGCACTTTCTAATTATGTGATAAATGAATCCTGTATTTCTTATTCTCGACAATTTATCCTGCCAAAACAGAACATTCTTTTGTGCTCATAGCAATCGTTCTGTGATGCTCCTTGCAACCAATTTAACACGCCTTTGCTTTGTAACTAAACTACCCTGCTGATTCCATCCTTCACAATTTAACACATCTATGCAGACAATTACAACTGTTGTGTTTTTAGCTATTATAGTATTGCAATAACAGCTACTTTATGAATCTACTAATGTACTGTGATCTTCACACATATATATATATGTATGTATAAATATATTTGCAATAAGAGACATGTCAATTTTCTGTCTGTCTAATATCAATGTTTATTTTCTTTCTTCCAGAACTCCATCAGACACAACCTTTCCTTACATACCCGTTTTATTCGGGTCCAAAATGAAGGAACGGGGAAGAGTTCCTGGTGGATGCTCAATCCTGAAGGTGGAAAGACAGGAAAGACCCCAAGGAGGAGAGCAGCATCCATGGACAGTGCCAGTGGAAAGTTTCTTCGGATTAAGGGAAAAGCTGGTAAAAAGAAGCAGCAGCAGGTGCAGTCTGCTCCTGAACATACGAGTGAGGGCAGCCCCTCATCCCAGCATGCTAAGTGGTCTGAAAGCCCATCTTCTCACACCAGTGACGATTTTGAAGTGTGGGCAGAGTTCCACACCAGAGCAAACCCCGCCACGGGTGCCATGAGTGGGAGGCTCTCACCCATTATGGCCAGTGATGAGCCAGATGATTTGGAGGATGATGAAGTTGCACCATCTTCCCCACTTATGTACCCAAGCCCATCTAGCGCCTTGTCACCTAGTGCCCGCTGCTCAGTAGAAATGCCACGTCTTGCAGAGCTCACTGGAACCATGGGACTAGGTGAGGCGCTGTCAGATCACTTGTTAGATGAAATGCAGGATAGCTACAATGTATCCTCTGGGGCTGCTTTACGCCAACGTAGTCCCGGTTTCTCTTTCACGTCAAAATGTCCAACTATGAGCCCCACTTCTGGTTCTTACTGTGGAGCTATATACAGCCAGCCAGCTATGGGTATGATGAGGAGGCTGCCCATGCAGACAATCCAGGAGAACAAGCAAGCTGCCTTCTCATCAAGCAGCACCTACCGGAATTCCTCCCTTCAGGACATCCTTTCAGCTATGTCCTATGGGCATAAAGATACTATAGGACAGGGTGATCCTGGACTGACAACAGTTGTGGGACTGCAGCGTAGCCACAGACAGAACACAAACATGATAGGTAGCTGTGACTCACCTACAGTGCCCTATGCTGCTAGCCTGATGAAAAGCCACAGCTTGTATCACCCACCCACTCTCAACCACCACTGCTCTGTTAACAACAGTGCCTTAGTAAGTGCAAGTGGACTGCTGAACTCCTCGGAGTCCTGTGGCTTGGCATCTGCCCCCCACCATGCATATTATGGCAGCCAAGGGGCACATGGGGGTCTGCTGGAAGGACCTTACCAAGGATCTTACCATCACCATCACCATCCTCAAATGTACAACCAGGACAGATTCCCTACAGATCTAGACTTAGACATGTTCAATGGGACCTTGGAGTGTGATGTGGAGTCCATAATTCTTAATGACTTTATGGACAATGATGAGATGGATTTCAACTTTGATTCAGCACTACCACCTCAAGGTGGCTTCAACATGGCTGCTACAACACAGTCAGCCAATCAGAGCTGGGTACAAGGATAAACAAATACTTTTCCCACTCAACACTGGGTTAAAGTTATCTTCTTACAGACAGTCATTTAGCTGATGGATTACTGTATAAATGTAGGGTTAGTAAAATTACTTTATTATGGAAACAAGATGGTGTTTCATATTTCGAACTTTGTCAGTAATACAATTTGGGTCATCCTTCTCAATTGTCATATGAGTTGAGTAAAGACTAACTTAGAATGGTGAAACAAAGTCTCCCAAGTGAAACACTTTCTTGTCCATATTAAAAACAGGATTCCAACATGAAGCTCTCGTGTAATAGAAAGAGCACAAAAAGTTAGTTATTGAGACCACTTACATGAAGGTAAAAGGTATTGGGATGAAGGGTTTTGCATATATTTTTTAGTAAAACAATTATACATAGATATTAGGGTACAGGTATGATCCTGATATGAATATATGGAACATTGTCTGGGTTTCTTTATGTCATGCACATTTGTCCATATATTCAATCATTCTCTATCCTGATAATCACACAAAATGGTCAGTTAAACATTACCAAGGTCTCAATAACAATCTTTAATGTCTGAGAGCACCCTGTGGGCCCTACAAAGTGTTTACCCCAGTTTTCAAGTACCTCTTACAGGCAGGGTTAGAAAAATGTTGCTTAAGTGCAAAATGAGATGCCTATCACTTAATCATTTATTTTAAAAAATGATCAACAATCAGGCAAGGTATTCTTTGAAAGTGCCCTTCTAACAGTACTTGGAAACAAAATTGATAAACACTGCTGTAACTAATGCATCCTAAAGAAAACTATTATTTAAGTAAAGACATACTATATGGAAAACGCCATATTTCTTCCTTAGGTCCATCCATTGATTGTTGCCTTTTTATTGCCAGAAAAACCCAGACCCTTGAAACGAACCTCCTACTACCTTTACCCACAGAAACTGCACTTACTAACACAAGAATAAATTAGGTCTGGATAGTCACACTATGAAAATCTGCTGCATTTTAATTTTATTTATTTTAATATTTATTGATACACATTATTTTGCTCAGTGCTTGCAAACTGAATATTCTAAAATGTCAGATTACTATCTATATTTAATGTCTATACCTTTAATTCTATATTCAACCCATCACACATTATCAAAGCCAGACATCTGGCTAAGGAAGTTAAAAATAAAATTGTTCATAGCACTAAATATCCTTACATTTATTCATCATCATTTATTGACCAAAAGAAAAAAAAAAGATTTTGTGTAAAAGAGAAAAGGAAACTTGTTTGGAGCACAAACCTTTGTAATTGATCTCCCATGTTTAACCTGTTTTAAAATGTAAAAAATACAATATTTTAACCTTACATGCTCTTCTGTAAAATGGTGCTGAGTATCTCTGTTAGTGCAAAGCATTTTTCAATGTTATTAATTTCATTTTGGCCCCTAAGAGTTTTACCCCTGTAAAATCTGTGTTAAAACAGTAATCAGATTGTAATCGAAATCTTGATATTTAAAATATATAACCTAAAATTCTATTTTTATCATTAGTGAACCTGGCAAGGTAATTTGTTCAAAAGTTAAATTGATCCTTTTTGAAGTCATACATTTTACTCAGCACCAACCTATCCTGCAGGTTCAGCTGTGACATTCTGTGTGTTGGTATGTAACCTCACATTCAAGGAAATCCAATGTAGAATTTACAAAGATTCAGATTTGACAATCTAATGTATTGGATTCATTAATATGCACTATGGAGTTGGGGCGGCAGACAGATTTTTTTCTCTTTCTCACTATTTGAATTTAATTCTGGCTTTGTGAGTGGTTTGTTACCCTAAAATGTTTAACACGTCTGTTTACATTGTGTGTGTTAAGTTTCTCCATTTTTTTATTTCATAAACAGATTTTAATATATATAGAACTGTGTACATACAGAAAATATATTCAAAATTATTTTTATTTTATTTTATTTGTATCTTTTAGTTTTTCTACGCACTCCGAACATTTTATTCTCCATTTTAAAGGACTGTTAATTTCTTTATGGCCTCTGTAAAAGTCTGGAGGTTTTTACAATTACGGCAGTGGTGGTTGGGGATTTTTGAGAATACCCTCCAGGATGTGTCGGATGAATAGTGATTTGAAAGGAATAAATTGGCTTGTAATGCATTTCTTTTTTTTTTACATATTTTAATGTTTTGCAATGTGGAATTAAAATGGTGGTCTGTTCTTCAGATGGTGGCTATTTGGGGGGAGGGGGACCTACAAGGCTAAATCCTAAAGTGCCTTACTGCACCTGGAAATGCCATGTAGTAACTCAAAATTTCTATAATGCCTTCTGTAATTGAATACACCTCCATGTATAACTGTTCTGAGTATCTACAATCTGAAACATAAATATGCTGCTCTGTATAAGGATAATGAGTGTCCACGCACTGATTATCAACCCACTGTGCTGCAAAATGATGCTCAGTATCACTATACACTGCTCCCCTTTGCCCAATTGGATCCCTTGCCCTTTTTACTGCGGTGTAAAGCGGTTGTAATGTTTTTGAGTGTGTTGTTGTAGTGTGTGAATCTTCAGATGTAACATAAACCTGTGTATACTTACTGTACAGAATATTTTCAGGAATAAAATTGTTTTAAATATTATTGCCCTTTTTAATGTTTATTTCTAACTCTGTCAATACAAAATATACTATGGGAGGTACACTACCATAAAATAAATGAAAAATAAACCATTTAAAGCACTTCCTCAGGTAAAATATACCACTAGATATGTTATAAAGATCCACTCCACACACTGGTAGCAATGAGATTTACCTTGATTATTAAATAATACAAATAACCTAAATGAAGCATACATACAGGGAGTGCAGAATAATTAGGCAAGTTGTATTTTTGAGGATGAATTTTATTATTGAACAACAACCATGTTCTCAATGAACCCAAAAAACTCATTAATATCAAAGCTGAATATTTTTGGAAGTAGTTTTTAGTTTGTTTTTAGTTATAGCTATGTTAGGGGGATATCTGTGTGTGCAGGTGACTATTACTGTGCATAATTATTAGGCAACTTAACAAAAAACAAATATATACCCATTTCAATTATTTATTATTACCAGTGAAACCAATATAACATCTCAACATTCACAAATATACATTTCTGACATTCAAAAACAAAACAAAAACAAATCAGTGACCAATATAGCCACCTTTCTTTGCAAGGACACTCAAAAGCCTGCCATCCATGGATTCTGTCAGTGTTTTGATCTGTTCACCATCAACATTGCGTGCAGCAGCAACCACAGCCTCCCAGACACTGTTCAGAGAGGTGTACTGTTTTCCCTCCTTGTAAATCTCACATTTGATGATGGACCACAGGTTCTCAATGGGGTTCAGATCAGGTGAACAAGGAGGCCATGTCATTAGATTTTCTTCTTTTATACCCTTTCTTGCCAGCCACGCTGTGGAGTACTTGGACGCGTGTGATGGAGCATTGTCCTGCATGAAAATCATGTTTTTCTTGAAGGATGCAGACTTCTTCCTGTACCACTGCTTGAAGAAGGTGTCTTCCAGGAACTGGCAGTAGGACTGGGAGTTGAGCTTGACTCCATCCTCAACCCGAAAAGGCCCCACAAGCTCATCTTTGATGATACCAGCCCAAACCAGTACTCCACCTCCACCTTGCTGGCGTCTGAGTCGGACTGGAGCTCTCTGCCCTTTACCAATCCAGCCACGGGCCCATCCATCTGGCCCATCAAGACTCACTCTCATTTCATCAGTCCATAAAACCTTAGAAAAATCAGTCTTGAGATATTTCTTGGCCCAGTCTTGACGTTTCAGCTTGTGTGTCTTGTTCAGTGGTGGTCGTCTTTCAGCCTTTCTTACCTTGGCCATGTCTCTGAGTATTGCACACCTTGTGCTTTTGGGCACTCCAGTGATGTTGCAGCTCTGAAATATGGCCAAACTGGTGGCAAGTGGCATCGTGGCAGCTGCACGCTTGACTTTTCTCAGTTCATGGGCAGTTATTTTGCGCCTTGGTTTTTCCACACGCTTCTTGCGACCCTGTTGACTATTTTGAATGAAACGCTTGATTGTTCGATGATCACGCTTCAGAAGCTTTGCAATTTTAAGAGTGCTGCATCCCTCTGCAAGATATCTCACTATTTTTGACTTTTCTGAGTCTGTCAAGTCCTTCTTTTGACCCATTTTGCCAAAGGAAAGGAAGTTGCCTAATAATTATGCACACCTGATATAGGGTGTTGATGTCATTAGACCACACCCCTTCTCATTACAGAGATGCATATCACCTAATATGCTTAATTGGTAGTAGGCTTTCGAGCCTATACAGCTTGGAGTAAGACAACATGCATAAAGAGGATGATGTGGTCAAAATACTCATTTGCCTAATAATTCTGCACTCCCTGTAGATAGTGATGAGGCTTACAAAAGGTAACCAAAACACAAATAAGGATTGTGTGCAAAATCGTTTTATTGTATTATTTGATAATAAATTTAATTTTTGCTGTTACTAGTGTGTGGAGAGCTTTTGATATGTATGTAGTAATCCTATGAGTAAATATTACTGGCTATAAAGCATTAACTGTCAGGCAGCTTCCCAGGGTTAATGAACAGATTCTTATGGTCTTGGGCAAACGGACAAATCAGGGCCATCCTTAGTCATAGGCAACGTGGGCATTTCTCTGGGCACCCATCATCAGATGCTCTATGCCATGCACTGACAGCCACTAGAGGTGGGTTTAACGTTGCAGTTTCTAAAAAAAAACTTTGCGACTTTAAAAGGACAGGGCCACTGCACCCAGACCATTTCATTGCAATAAAGGGTTCTATGTGACTTTGCTGTCCTTTTAAGAATGTACTTGAGTCAAATTCTAAATTGCAGTCAAATAAGATACACAATATGTATGGTAGAATAATGCAATTAGTAGAGCAAATTTTTTTTTTTTAAATTCCAATTATTCCTTACCATGTATATATATGTATCTTTAAATAGTAAAGGTGCAACATGAGAAACCGGAGAGCAGATCACATTGACAGAGAAGTATGGTATGTTTGGTGTGCAAGATATTTTGTGTGTAATAAAATGGTGGAAAATAGTATTCTAAACAAAAATGGATGAAATTAAGTATAAGGCAGTCATAAATAGTGAAGATGTAAAAATAATAATAAAGTATTTAACCAGGAAAAGTATATTCAGATATTCTATGCTTTCCAAGTACATCCTAGGGAAGGTGATGCATTAGCCTACTGAGCTATCTCACTAGCCTAAATTAAAATAATATGAGGGAAAAGAGTGTATTGAAAGAAAACAGAACGAAAGCAACAACTGATATTAAGGGCTAGTGAAAGAAAAGTTAGAGACAAAATATTGCAGAATCATGAAATCCGCAAATCAGAGAAAAAGACAATGGAGTGAGATTCTGACCAATTTAATGGTCCTCTTTTAAATATATGGAGTAAGTTCTTTTCCCCAACTGTGCTTTGATAAGTGAGTAATCAGTTAGAAAATAGGGAATGAGTAAACGTAGACGCTGGAGAAAGGGATAAAGCATTGCTAGGCAGCCTGCAGCTCCCATAGTACAACGAGTATAGGAGTGGGATATCTGTAGTTCATCTGACAAGGCATAAAATGCTTGCACTTCAAAGGAGGATACTGTGAAGAAAATCTAGGGCACCACTGATAAAAGATTGTGCCGAACAACAGGGGAGTAGACTGACTGCTCCTATGCACATACTGTAACCTCTGTATTATACACTGTTTTTACACACTATTTACAGAATGGCTCATTTGCAGGTTGCCGCCTATTACTGTTTATTGGCCTAATCGAGATTACTGAACAGCCTTGATTCCATGATGTGATACTACATGTTTGTATGCATTTTGCATTTGACTCATCTTCCTATGTATTATTGCTTCAATTTGTAAAATATAATGGTGTGTCAGCCCATCATATAGGACTCATACACTTAAAGAATGTGAGTATACAGTCTTGGGAAAAATAAAGTACGCCCTCTTTGAATTCTATGGTTTTACACATCAGGACATAATAACAAACACCTGTTCCTTAGCAGGACTTAAAACTAGATAAATACAATCTCAGATGAACAACAACACATGACATATTACTCTGTGTTATGATTTATTTAAAAAAAATAAAGCCAAAATGGTGAAGCCATGTGTGACATATAGTATTACACTCCGCTGGAGACAATCCATCAGAGCAGTTGTGGTGGCCCTTGCTACTAAGGGGAACACCCAAAGCTCTTTTCATGGAGTGAAATTATGTTCTTTGCCATCTGTTAAAGCACCTTGATGCTCCTCCGGGCACAAATTCTTGGGACTTGGGTTCCATAGTGCCATTTGTGCTAAGAGCTGACCTACCTTGAATGTTTTTTGGGACTCTGCCATTAGTCTTTGTACCAAAAAGCTCCAGAGATATCTGGCTTACATAATAGTGCATACATGTTCAGCATAATTTTTAGTTAGCCCTTTGTATGATTTTTCTCTTGGTAGTTACCTGTCTGTTTTTTAAATGTTTTTCAGGTTTAGTGGACCTCATCCCCCTCCCAACCATAGAAAGATTGGTCCTATATTGCTTTTGTGATGAAGCTCCCATATTCTGACTAAATAGCTCTGCCAAAGTTTTCCTATCGCTGGAGTAGAATCGCAGAAGTTACTATAGCGGTTCCCCAAACATCAGCCGAGGCTTGATGAAGGGGTAAAAATGACATAATTTGCACATATTTATAGTGACTTTCCCCACAGGGGGTCACCAACATGAACAGATGGGTTCTCACCCCCCCCCAGCACCTCTGTGTCTGGGGAATAATTCCATTAACTAAGAAGTAATTTTATTAACCTGCAGACAACTGAGCGCCTTACAACTGTAACCAATAAATAGGTTTCTCCACACACAATAGTGACAAATTATACATTGCCAGACCTAGCTAGTTCCCAAGAGTATAATGTCCAAGAAGAGCTGGGATCGAAGCTATCCTGGCGAGTAAAGTTTGTATAGCGTTTCAGCCAGCTCGCAGCTAACCTCCGATCCGGCATAGCGTTCCAGGCTGCCGTCTAGTAAGTGTAGGTCAAAATAAATAATTTTAAGCTCCCTCGAGTGTTTGATGTTTTTTTTATTAGCCCTTCATCTCCTCTTCCTTAGTTCCACTTAGTGCTCTCCTGGGTAACCATGGACAGGAGTGATGTACGATGCAAACTGTACCCAGCATCCACAGTGGTCTCTACCTCTAGGAGTGAGGTTTACCAGATGGCACATATTTTTTGCTGGTAGAGTGGCGGCTATCCCGTTATGATGAATGGCCCCAGGGCTTGGAAATAGAGCACTCTGCAGAGAAGGCTTTAACACAAGAGGAAAAGGGCAGGGGGTGATTAAGTGTTTGTTTTTTGTTTTTTGTAAAGTGGGTTCCTCAGGTCCTGCACCAGTGTTCATGCAATTGGAGCAGGCTCTGTTACAATTTTTATTACTGAAGATATATCAGGATCATAGTTTGGGTGACCCCATTAACCCCTTAAGGACCAAACTTCTGGAATAAAAAGGAATCATGACATGTCACACATGTGTCCTTAAGGGGTTAATGTTCTCTTTATAGAATGGGTCTCATAGCCT